ATGAAGGAGCTTGAAGAGTAAAAATATACATCAGTTCAATCCAACCAATGAAAACAACGACGCGAGTAACTCAAAAGAACGCCGCAGCAGAACATGAAACTCGGCAGACGGATGCGTGAGCTTCATTTAAAATGGGAACTGAGGATTTTGTGTCTCACTGTTCACATGTCAAAAAGTATCAACAGTGCTGAAAAAAAGATGACCTACAAACCCGTTAATCAGCTTACAGACCCACCTGTCTCTGACCAGCTGTGAGTGATGATAGACTGACCTGTAAAGCTTTTCTCCAGCAGCTGACCTACCTGCACACACAACTCACAGACCAAACCCTTACAAGGATTAAGCAACTGGGGGTGGCGTGGTGGCGAGCACTGTTGCCTCAAAGCAAGAAGGTCCGGGTTTTGAATTTGCATGTTCTCCTCGTTACTGCATGGATTGTCTCCAGGTACTCTGGGTTCCTCCCACTGTCCAAAGACATGCAAGAAGGTAGACACCTTTTCCTATCTTGAGTCTTGCCTCATGACAGCAGGGATACGCTCGATCCAAACTTGGATTAGATAAGAGAAAGAAAAGAGATGGATTACAATATACTGGCTATCAGCTTCTGGCTGAGTCTGTCAATGCTTGTTTTTATTGATTGGGTGGCTGGGAGGGAGGGAGGGAAGGCATGTTTACTAATCTGGAGGTTCAACTCCTTGAGAATTTAACTCTGATTACCAAATGTAGTGCAGTCTGAGGATGTTCACGGGTAGCGACCCATAGCCAAAAGGTTCACAAATAATTTCAGTAATAAAGTCAATTATATTTGTATCTGCATGAGCTCTGCACTGTGACTATGCCAAGGCTGCGCTGGTCCATTGTGGTGAAGAGGGGCTTGTGTAAGGATGAAGGCGAGCTACACTCACCGATGGCCTTGAAAGAAAAATATCTGTGATAAAAGCGGCAGAAACGAGCCTGAAGAAACCCGGGAAGACTGAGGGTGTTGGCAGGTCTGAGTGAGGAGCAAAATCAAGGCGTGAACGTCGGTGGACAGCAGAATGTTACCAATCGGTTAGTCAGGACCTTTTCATGAAGCCTCGAGCTGAAGTCTTCTCTGTCTTCTTATTGTTTTAAACCTTGATGTGATGAGCAAGGGGCGGAGCTAACTGAGAGAGAGAGAGGGTACTAGGTGACTGAAAGTCATTACCCAATCAGTCATTAGCACATCCTGGATAATGTTTTAACTCTTAGAATGACCATAATTTATAAAATAGGCTGAATGTTTTGTTGAGTATGACCTGAAACCCACGACTGGGCCCAATTAAAGTTTGATTTCTGTGGTGAAATCGTGGATTCATGAGGTCAGAGAGTGACTTCCAAGGCGTCATCCAAACATGGTGGCCACGCCTAAGGTGCTGCCCCACTACCTAGACGACCGGAGACTGAAACCAGGACAGAAACACCTACAGACCAAATTGTGCCAAATAGTTCAGCTTTTAAAAAAATCCCCAAAACTAGAACCTTCTTAGTCAAAGAAATTCACTGCAGCAGAGGCATCGTTAGACGGAGCGCTCCAAGAGTTTTGAAGGAACTTCAAAAGGAGAAGAAAATCTTATGAACTTTTTTGGCTGGTCGTGGAGTTTGTATGTGCAGGTGAGCGCTGAAGTTTAACTTAACTGAGCTAACGCTTCAACATATTTGCCCAGATTGGTGCCCTGAGGTGTTCAAAATGGCAGCCAAGTGGCGAGGCTTGCTTCTAGAAGGACTTTGACTGTAGGTCAAAATCGCGTAAAAGGTTTGTTGAACTCCCTCAACGATGAGCGGAACATCGGGATCGTTTCAAACAGGAAGTTGTTGCCGATGTTGGAGGGAATTGTGGGAAATGGTGTGTGTGGTCAGTTTAGCCTGAAGTAAATCTTTTCCAGTCTGTTGATTTAATGACTGCTGCTCTTAACGGTGCTTTCTAAACAACTGAGACGCCATCTGCTCCACATCAGCATGCTGATGTTTTCCCATGACCTCCCATCACGTTCACATCTGCACACACACTCCCTGCCGTATATAACTTAATTACTGTGTGTACTGCACACACTCACAGCTCCTGCAACTCATAATTTTGCTGCTCTGCTTTCAGAGATTTCATCTGAGAAACGTAACGTCATCTTAAAAGTCCGCAGGCCGGGTGTAGATCTCCATCACAGGCCACTCTGTTCACTCAAACGGCTAATTTTGTATGCTAACTTTAATTTCGTGCTCCACTGAAATATTAAACAATTTATTCATTGGGTAAATATTCAGCTTTAGAGACTTTAGAGATCTTAGAGACCTTTTTTTTTTTTTTTAAATCCGGGAGGAAACAAAAATGTGGAATTGCTCAACAAACCCACGTGCTCTGCAGGAATGCATCAGTCATAGCACATACAAATCTCTAAGTCTAGACTTTGGGCTGTATAAAAAAACGGATGTTTACTCTAGGGAGGGGGGATTTCAATCATAAATACTGTTCAATATTTGCTGGAAACTATTGGACTTTCCTTTAGTCGCCCTGTTGTAGCAGACTTATGTTAGATGTACCCATCAGTGTTTGGACTCGACCACGTTTTTGCTTATTTTTGAGGCTTTTTAGATGTAGAAGTCTTTGATTGGTTCTCTTGTTTCTACTGTAGCATCTCTGTGCACCACACTGGTCTGGTGATTGGCAGCTGTATAGACAGTGTAAAAGATGGATGTAGCCGTTGTGACCCAACGGTTTCTGAAGTCCTGTTATGAAGCCTTGAGCTGAGTGTTTTCACCATCGCCTTCTTGGTGTTTTGAAACGGGATGTAACAACCTATGAAACGGCTTCTCATTCAGAGGTTGTTAGCCAATGAGGATCCTCCTTTCTGACTCTTTACGTTATGAAAATGTACAACATAGACTTAATATAAATAGACTTTGTGACTGAGGTCAGAGCAAAGAGCTGTTTAACAGCAGACTTTTATAGGACCGGAAATCTTCTGCCATCCACAGCTATCGCCCCCTGGTGGCTGTTTAATAGACTGCAGGTTTAAGGCGCTTCACCACTGGCTTCACTTTTAAGTGACGGCAGCTGTCCATCTTTATGCTTTCTTTGAGTTGTTAACATGTTTTTATTTCAGCTGTTTAATAGTAATGTAGAGGTTTACACAGTGACCTAAACGGTAAAAGATCTCAGATCTCCGATCCTGGTGGGAAACATGAAACTTTTCAGATCGCATCATGAAGGACATCTGGCATAAAAATCTGCAAAATCAAACATGCTGAGCTACCCACCATGGCGACTCTTTGTTAATCAGGCAGCAGCTGAAAGTCCTTTATGTTATACTACATCCTGCCAAACCCTGCCAGACAAGTTTTTTAAGATGATGAATAATTTAAAGACTGTTTGTAATTATGAAATTCATGACCAGCTGTGCTGTCAGCCACTGGTCACTGAGGTTTTACCATTTCACCATCATGACATTTTAAAACTAGAAGGGACAAGCAAGGGGTGGATGTGACTGAGAAAGTAAGCGACACTGCAATCAATCACTATTGCAAGTTAGCACCACCCTAAAGCAAAACTTGTTGACCTTCTATTTCAGTCTCAACTGGTCCATAACTTACAAAACGAGCATTGTGTTCTGTTTAATAAGACTTTAAACTCACGATTGAGGCTGTAAAGTCACCCGGAGAGTGTTTAGTGAGCTCGTAAATCAAAAGAGCAGAAGGGTCGTTTTCTCATAGAGGCAACACAACTGGGTTTGTTTTTGCAGACAGAGAATACGCCTCCCTATAGACACATCCACACTGGCTTCACTAGTCAGACCTGGAAGTAAGGATAACTGGACCAATTTATATAAAGCATGAGGTAATTAGTTCAATATCCCAAATATTACTTTACAACATAAAGTAAGTATTTAGAAAAGACTTAACCCTTGGGTAGACCTGGTTTCTACTAAGGACTCATTATTTAACATCAAATAGATTTCTGTGGATATCCTTTTTTACACACTTTTCCTTTTTCTTCTGGTCGTTTATTATGCACAGCCGGGTGACACTGCATCACTTCCCTGAGAAAGCTGCATGGACACACCATGGCGACACGGAGAGAGTCAAGCCTGAACAACCCATCGGTTTCCTTTGTTATCGCCAATCAAGTTCACTGTTGACCATCAGGAAATGTGTCTGTTGCTAAAGGGCAGCAGTCACTATTGGCTCTGACACAGAAACATTAAGATGATTTGCATGAAATAAGCAAACAGAAACAAGAACAAACAAACAGAATAAATCTGTTTGTGCACAAAGCTAAAAATGAAATAAATTAACTGCAGGACAAAGAAACATGAGGTCAAGTCATCGTCAAAGGCTGGAGAAGAGAAGTCATAAATACACTTTGATAAAACAGCAATAAAACCATCAAGGCACAAGCAGGGCCACCAAGGCCAGTGCCCTATTTCACAAATTATAAAGAGTGCGGTCCAGTATTTATGACTTCTTTTCTTTATGGAATAATTAATGGAATACAAAAACGATATAAAAAGTCAATAAAAACACCCCGTCTGAGGAATGTGGATCTATAAAACAAGAGCCAACAATACTATGAAAAATATAAACCACATTTAAAATACTGAAAATCAAAGGTTCAAAGACACAGTTGTGGAACATAAAAGCCAGAAAAAGAAAGTGAAAAGCAAAATAAGTGAAACACACAAACACATTCGGCTGAGTCAGTCCCGTCTCCTCGCTTCTTTGGAAGTTAACAAATCTAATAAAGAAAGTTTTTTGGCTTTGATTGAATACGAAGGCTGTTAGTGTGTGAAGGACAGCTGAAGTAAAAGCTCCTGAAAACAAAGAGCAGCAGAGAAAATGTCTCCTGGATTTAGAGGAAACCTGCCGAGAGTTTGATGAAGCTTCAGGATCTGCAGACAGAAAGCCTAACCAAAATCCCTTTTTTACAAATATTTTTAGCTAACAACCTAACACAAACCCTTGTATATTTTTACCTGTCCCCTCCTCCTCAGGTCCCTCCTCCTCCTCCAGTCCCAGCTTGCTGACTAAGAGCCTCTCTCTGGAGCCGTCCTGCTCACCGTGCGGCCACCTGGGGGCGCTGGATGCCGACTCTTCGCAGCAGCCGAGCTCTGACCCGGGGCCGAGCTCTGACCCGGGGCCAAGCTCTTCCACATCAGGTCCCGCCTCCTTGGAGGGAGGGGCAGAGCTAGCAGAACGCCGTGGCTCTGCGAATGGGCTCCTGCTGGTGAATGACACGGGGCCGCCGGAGCTGCCAGCTACCACAATTACACCACCGAGCAAGAGCAGGCCGCCGCTGCCGGGACCTAAACCTCAGGGTAAGAATTTGATTCACTTTTTTTTTTTTTTTAACACATCCATGAGGTCATCGCTCACCTGTAACTCCGCCTTCCACAGTGCCACCGAAACCCCCCCACCTCCAGCAGCAGACAGGGGTTTCCAGGCCGCGCCCCCGAGCACCAGAAAAGCCCCTCCCACCTACACCCCCCTGCAAACCCCTCCCAGCGGACCCTCGGGCAGGCCGACCTCCACCTATTCGTGCAGACGGCACCGCCTCCCCCACCTGTGTCTTGTCACTCATCGAGAAGTTTGAGCGGTGAGTTCTGATTGGTTAAGGAGGAGTGATGTCATTATATGAGTCTTTTCTGTTTGTTTATTGTTTGTTTGTTTACAGGGAACAGATCATTGTGGTTCCTGACATCACCGGTGGGGCGCTGTGTCCCCGCCTCTCCGACCCCCCCTCCTCTCTGTCATCCTCCCGACCTTCATCACCAGCATCATCACTAGCCCCGCCCCTCCCTGAAGAGGAGCCGTCCTGTGAGCTCACGAGCCACGACGACATCACACAGGGGGATGAGGGTGGGCCTGAGGGTGAGGATGAGGGGGGAGTGGGTGATCTACCTGATGAGGAAGATGACAATAATGGCGATGACGTTGATGACGATGAAGACGACGATGATGATGAAGAGCTGGCGGCTGCTTGCCGGGACGATCACCATCACAAGCGTCTGTCCATGGAGTCAGGTTACAGCCCCTCAGAGAAACATGTAGAGGATGATGTGGTTGCCGTGGAAATGAGGGAGCAGCAGCTGCAGCCAGCACTGCTTGACCAATCAGAGTTGCCCTCCGAGCGTCTGTCCCTCCCCTCCTCGCAGACGGACGGCAAGCTGGCCAATCGAGACAGCGGCATCGACAGCATCAGCTCTCCCTCGCACAGCGAGGAGCTCTGCTTCGCGGGTGTGGATGATGCGGGCGTGGCCTATCAGTGCAGCCCCGCCCTTTTGCCCAGACTCTCCAGCTCATCCTCGTATGCTGGGGAGGGAGGTGAGGGGGAGGGGGAAGAGGGGGACCCGAGGGCAGGTGCGAGGCGGAGGAGGGAGTTTTCAGAGGAGGGAGACAGCGACCTGGAGGAGGAGGAGGCGGAGCTAACTCTGGTGCTGGCCCCTCCCAAGACAGACCGACAGGACTCTGCTGAGGTGAGGATTCAGGTGGTCTAACCATGTGGTCTACATCCTCAGGCTGATGTTCGTGAGCCGTTACACATCTGTAATTTCGTTTTGGATGAAACTGAAAATGGTTACAAAAAGATGGGTTTTAGAACAGACGCTTTCACTTTTCATGGAAATAACTGTTCCACCAATAGGAATCTTGGACAACATGTGGGAGTTTAAAAAGGTCGACAGGGGTCAATAAATACACAGAGGAGATTGATCTGGAAAACACGGGGCTATGTTTCAGGTTCCTGTGCAGGCCCGCGTCCTCATACAGATGTTTTACATGATCGACGCAGCTGCAGGCTTCAAACACTGGTTTGTGTTGAATATCTGCATTTAGACTCTTTATTAAAGTAATAGTACAGGATCAAAATATAAATATAATATAAGTATTAATATAATGCATATAAAAACACGGGAAAATATAACATAATAAATTATATTATTATAATAAGTATTTCTAATGCATTCAATTCTGGTTATGATCTCACTTACTTACGCTACTAAAAACCCACCAATGGGTGGTTTTTTCCACACCTGCTTTAGTTTAGTTACAGTTGAGAATATATTTAAATATGAGAACAAATTTAATTACTAACGGTGTGAACCATTAGAAGCGCAATAGGAAGAACAGATGTAATGACAACAATGTCCTGTATGTGGTTCGGCTCATATCATCACCAATTATTTATGGTAACTATTATTATATCTGTGTTTTCTGTTACCACAACAACCCCCAGCCGGTCGCGGCAGATAGCCGCCCCTCCCTGAGCCTGGTTCTGCCTGAGGTTTCTTCCTGTTAAAAGGGAGTTTTTCCTTCCCACTGTCGCCAAAGTGGTTGCTGATTGGGGGTCGTCTGATTGTTGAGTTTCTCTGTAATACTGTAGGTTCCCTTACATTACACTATTAAGCGCCTTGAGGTGACTGTTGTTGTGATTTAAAACTGAATTGAATTGTTATTGGTAAGCAGGGATCTATAAATCATAAGCCTAAGTGGCTGAATTAGTGCTAAATATGTTAAAAATGATTTGGGGTGTTTACAACTGAATGGAAATCAAAGGCAGTCACACTGTTTGCAAATACACAGAAAAAGAAACTACTTTTATTTGAAGTAAATATTTGAATGTATGAATCTTGGTATCCTAAGTAGTTTATAGGTTTCAAGGTCGTTGAGTAGTATTTAGAGCATTACAGTCATAGTAATGCTACCGTCTTTATTGTATGATGCCATCCATAATAATTCAACATCGTTATTATATCTCTGTCCTAAACCTAGCTATATCGTTTAATGTTATAATAATGATAATAACAATGCGAATGAATGAAAACTCTCTGACTTGAACTTGGGTCTCTGTCCAGCCTCCAGGTTTGGGCGTTTTTGCCTTTAAAAGAGGAAAATATTTACTGTGCACTCACTCGTTTAACTGTCTCTGTGTCCAGATGTCTGTCCAGCAGAGGGTCTTCAACATCGCCAATGAGCTGCTGCACACAGAGATTGCCTACGTCTCAAAGCTCCACCTGCTGGACCAGGTGAGTCGAGAGTGAGTCTCCTCAGCCTGTGAGCCAATAGGAAGAGGAGCTGCCCACCACACTAGGCTTAGCTTACCTAGCTGTCAGTCGCTCGCAGGTCGTCTCCTCCTGGTAGAATCAGTTTGTCTGTTAGCCGACTTTCACGTCACTGAGCTGTCACTGTTGCCATGGAAACCCCACAGTATTCCCACTGCAGGCTTGGCGGGTGTGAACTTTTTCCTGTTGTGAGAAATATCAGCCCGACTGAAGCCATCTCCTCCCACAGGTTTTCTGTGCCAGACTCCTGGAGGAGGCTCGGTCTCGCTCCTCCTTCCCCTGTGATGTCGTTCTGGGTATCTTCTCCAACATCTGCTCAATCTACTGTTTCCACCAGCAGTTCCTGCTGCCGGCGCTGCAGAAACGCATGGAGGAGTGGTGAGCCTCCATCTCCTCTTCCTCTTCTCCTGCTCCTCCTCAGGAGCTCCTCTCACTCCCTTCCTCTTTGTTCCCACAGGGACTTAAACCCGCGGATCGGTGACATCTTACAGAAGCTGGCCCCCTTCCTGAAGATGTACGGCGAGTACGTGAAGAACTTTGACCGAGCCATGGAGCTGGTGAACATCTGGATGGAGAGATCGACTCAGTTCAAGACCATCGTTCAGGAGATACAGGTACATAATCCAAATCTTTACAGGACATAAATGATCTGCTGCTGACGGCTCTGCACCAGATACCACAGGGACCTTCAGAGGTCTGCAGCCTCCAGGCTGCTCAGGGCGTCCTGTTTTGGCTCATTAGTTTAAGATCATCACACGTTGTTGTGTACAAACGTGTGCTTGATGTTTCTGTGCAGAGGGAGGAGCGCTGTGGGAACCTGACTCTGCAGCACCACATGTTGGAGCCGGTTCAGAGGATTCCTCGCTATGAGCTGCTGCTCAAAGATTACCTCCACAGGCTGCCAGAGGACGCCCCGGACTACAGGGACGCCCAGAGTATGAAAACAAACGCACAAAAACACGACTGCCTTGAGTTCTCTAGGCCACCAAATAGTGTCAACCGTGCATTATTAATAGAATCTAGACAAAAATATATTGTATTTTCTTTAGTTTACTATTATCATTGCCTGTTATTCTGTTATATATTAAAGTCCTTAACCTGTAGAAACAGAAATTCTCTGCTAGAAACGAGATGAAAAGGATAACTGAATTTATGAGTAGGAAAAATGAACCACTTTAATATGTGGAGGAAATCACAGCTACCCACGAGCAGGATGCAGCACCTCAACAAAAGTGTAAAAAAAAAAAAGAAAAGCAATTGTCAGCAGCTCTCTGACTGAGTGCATCATCTGCTGGGGAATTTGGTTAATGTGGTGCAAAACAAGCTAAACAGACACTTCAGGAAGCCTGATATAACTGATGTGATGGAGCTTCCTGCAAAGCCCAAACCCACAAGACGATACAATCAAAAGAACTGTCAACATGCCAGACGGCGTATCTGATTACAGGTGTGTCTTTAAACGTCAGCTTTGTTTTTGAGCACAAAATATTTTAAAAACACTGGTTTAGGCTAAAAATGAGAGCTCGGACATGTTCCAGGCTCTAGTCTTGAAATGTTCTTCGATTATAAAACAGAGACACTTGTGTGCGATCAAGTGTGTTTAAAAACCTTAAAGAACAGGCCAGTGAAAACCAAAAGGCCCAGTTAGATTAGATTTGGCTGTTTGCACATGCAGCGTCGTCCTCTCGGACATTATTAGATCCCTAGAGGAAGTCCCGTTCTGAGCGCTTGCACTGTGATTTCACCGTGAATCTCAGACATGTTCAGAGGCTTCTGTTTCAAACTGAGAGCGAAGGATCGCCGGTACTGATAAGAGCTGCATGTTTGGCTGTGACTGATCAGTTTTCAGTTGAAATTTCCAGTTTAAGAGCTGTAACGTCCTGAGATGCCCGAGGATCTGAACCGTGGTGCTGTCATGCCGATTCAGAGCAGAACGAAAACACAAGAACTTTTTGGCTATAAAATAAAACCTTCAGGTAGAAGGATCGCTGTTTCCACACACTGTAGGACTTCAAATGAAAGATCTGAAAGATCTAAAAGAGCTGCTGTGCTGAAAACAGGCCAGAGTTGTACCAGAGCGTGAACCTGAATATGAGATCAGGCAAATATGAATCGAGTAAAGCTTTTGAATGTTTTTGATCACACTTCAAACAGTTTATGTAATAATTCTGATACACTATCTTGCCAAAAGTATTCACTCATCCATCCAAATCATTGAATCCAGGTGTTCCAATCACTTCCAGGACCACAGGTGTATAAAATCAAGCACCCAGACATGCAGACTGCTTCTGCAAGCATTTGTGAAATAACAACTCGCTCTGAGCTCACTGAACTCCAGCGTGGTACCTTGATAGGATGCTACCTGTGCAACAAGTCCAGTCGTGGAATTTCCTCAAATTAAATTACATCAGCTGATAGTGGTATTATAACAAGGTGGCAGTGATTGGGAACGATAGCAACTCAGCCATGAAGTTGTAGGCCAGGTAAAATCACAGAAAGGTCACAGAGATCACCAACTTTCTGCAGAGTCAGTCGCTACAGTCCTCCAAACTCTGTGTGCCCTTCAGATTAGCTCAAGATCAGTGCGTGGAGAGCTTCATGGAATGAGCTTCTACAGCCGAGCAGCTGCAGCTGAGCCTTACATCAGCAGGTGCGATGCAAAGCAACAGATGCAGCACCACCACTGGACTGTAGAGCATGGAGAAATGGTCTCTGGAGTGATGGCCCCTTCCTGTTCCAACATGACTGCGCACCAGTGCACAAAGCAAGGTGCATAAAGACATGGGCGAGAGAGCCTGCACAGCGTCCTGACCTCAACCCAACAAGACACCTCTGGGAGGAATTAGAGCAGAGACTGTGAACCAGGTCTTCTTGTCCAGCATCAGTGTCTGACCTCACAAATGCTCGTCTAGAAGAACAATTAAAAATTCAGATAAGCACCCCTTAACCTTCATAAAGCATTCCCAGAAGAGTTGAAGCTCTGGGTGGGACAACATTATATTAAACTCTATGGAATAATAATGGGACACTACTCGACTTCGTGTGTGTGAAAGCAGACAAGCAAGTACTTTTGGCAATATAGTGTAACTGCAGACTTTAGTTTGGGTTCATCAGCTCCTTCTACGGAGCAAACTTTGGGCTTCAGGGAGCGCTGCTGCACAGAGAAGCTAGAAGCCAGAGTATTTGGTAGCCTTGCCCTCATTGGTTCCTGGGTCTCTGTGTGTCTGAGCTACTGGCTCATGTAACTGTCCTCTCTCTCCTGCAGAGTCTCTGGAGCTGATCGCCACAGCAGCCGAACACTCCAACGCTGCCATCAGGAAGATGGTAAGATACTCTCACACATAATCACCCCCGTCTGCCGCTGTTCACACCACATCACTCAGATAAATGTTGCCCGGGATAGATTAAAGCTCAACTTTTACTTCATCTTTAATTAAACTCTCCTGATTACGCTCATTAACTGCCCGAAGCTCCTGGTAAACACGACTGCTGCTTCAAAGGTTGGTTTATACTTCAGGTTCGAGTCTGCCTGAAGAACGTCGGGTACCCAGGTGGGTTTGCAGAGGTCTCTCAGCGATGGCGTGATTAGTATGGTTAATGTAAACAAGAGCATGAGAAGCAGAAATGTGGATTCATGGAGTTCAGGCTGGTTTTTGCTGTAATGACTCAGAGGTCTGAGCCTCTCCACCTCCTCTCAGCGGGATGTTTGCCGTCGTCTCTAATCAGCTGTGACTGATTAAAGGAAAGCCGCTGCTGCTGATGTGAGCCGGTTTCACTCAGCTGACAGCTTTTTGGAGATTTGTGCAGGAGGCAGTGAGAAAACGCGACATAATCAGACGAGGACGTGTGAGTGGCATTAAACAAGCTTTAGAGGGAAGCTAATACTAAGAATACACTACAGCCGCTCATGGCGTTCAGTTAGACAGAGCTTAACTTCTGGACATTGGTCCAGACCCGATCAGGGTTACCATGCTTACATTTTTCATATACTGCATTTCCTCCAACTTAGAAACGTGAGATGTACAGCTCAGATGGAGGGTTTGGACACAAAGTCAGAGGCAAAGCTCAGATGGTTTGGACATGTGCAGAGGAGGGAGGGTGGACGTGTTGCTGAAGATGGAGCTGCCAGGCAGGAGGAAATGAGGAAGACCACAGAGAAGATGGATAGAGTTGTGGTGACCCCTAAAGGGAGCAGCTGAAAGAAGAAGAAGAAGAAGAAGAAGAGGGCAGTTCCTTCAACCATTTTGCTGTGATTTGCCAGACTCCAGCTGTTTCCTTTCAGCCAAACATCAAATATTTTTGCAGTGTTTTCCATCAGGCAGTGATAGCAGATTACTCCAGACCAGTACATATGTGTAGTATGTGCCCTCTCTGCACTTTAACCCTGTAAAGCCTGAACCATGAAATAAGATGTAACATTTTTGCTACATCTGGCTCTTGTTTTGCAGTTTGGTGCTCACAGTTTGTTCATCTGAAACAAAAACATAAAAGGAGTTTGGGTTTAAAGAAAATCACACCGATGATGTAGATGTCTCAAAGCTCGTGTGTCACATGGTGTTTTAGGGTTTTAGGGTTAAAACCTAAACTGAAAGCGCTCCATTCGAACCCTGATCTGTAGAGTCACCTCAGAGGGGATCCAGACTTCCTGTAGAGAAACTCATTTCAGGATGTCAGGTCGTCTCCCGGCTGACGACTCGCTGGAAACGCTAGAACTTTGCCTTCAGGCTCCACAGCTGTCCTAGTAATCTCACAGTTTGCCTTTTGTATCTTATATCTAAAATTTAGGTTTCCAGTGAACTTAAAATGCCCTAAAACCCTCATGTAGCATCGGCAGGAACATGAACCGCTAAGTGATTCTTTTATGTCTCTGCCAGGAGCGAATGAGGAAGCTGTTGAAGGTGTACGAGTTGTTGGGAGGAGAAGAAGACATTGTTAACCCAACTAACGAGCTCATTAAAGAGGGACACATCCTCAAGCTGTCCAATAAGAACGGGACCACGCAGGACAGATACCTGATACTGGTACTTCCCTGTCTGTGTCTCCTTCTCAGTGCTTTACAGAGTTCATAGGGTCATAGTAACAGTAATAAGCGACACCTGCCTCTCTCTGCAGTTCAATGACAGGTTACTGTATTGCGTCCCGAAGCTGCGTCTGATTGGTCAGAAGTACAGCGTCCGAGCCCGAATCGACGTGGACGGCATGGAGGTGAGCTCTCCGGCTTTTCTCACTGAAGACACTGTTAGACTCAGTGTTTTTGCATTCAGCCTTCAAACACCTTAAGCGCTCAGTAAAGTCAAGAATATTAATGTGATCTACAGACTAATAACAACTAGACGAGCACTCGTTCAGTGTCCGAGCTTCATAAAGTTGGCCTGGTGGGGTTTTGTGTTGTCTTCCAGAGACACAGACACGCGGTATTAAAACGTGCATCCACCTCAGCTTTAACCGTCGAATAGAACTAACAATGATAAAGCGAGATCAGAGAGGATGATGATGAGCGTGCTCAGATTTAGCCTGAATATTTTTAACAAGCTAACAGAGAATTTCCCGCCTGTGTCCTCAGCTGAAGGAGACGAGCAGCGTCGCTGTCGCCAGGACGTTCCTGGTGTCGGGGAAACAGAGATCCCTGGAGCTGCAGGCCAGGTACAAACACCTACAGAGACAGAAGCACACTCAGTCCTGCAGGAGGACTCACTGTAATCAGAATCTGTCTCCCAGGATAAAAACACACTGAAGTTTGTTTCTCAGGTCGAGTTTTGCTCCTCGAAGATTTGACTGATTTTCTGTTGGCTTTGCAGGACGGAGGAGGAGAAGAAAGACTGGATCCAGGTAAGTGGTGCTGATGCAGCGGGCGTAGATGATCCGATACTAGCACGTTAGAAACTGCGGACCTGATGGGCTCGTGGTGTGCTTTCAGTCAGCAGTGGCGAGTACTGTGAAGCAGGCACAGGGTCAAACATAAGGTCTGGGGGCCAGAATCGGCCTGGCAAAAGACTCCAATCCGGCCCAACAGACATCTTTGGACAATACAAAAGAGGACTTAATTTTTTAATGGATTTTACAGCTACGGGCCATTCGATCCCTATACAACCGTTGCAAGAGCTTGGTTCGCATTGCCGGCAATAAGTCGGACTCGTTCCCGGTGGGTGATGGGCTCCGCCAGGGCTGCCCTTTGTCTCCGGTTCTGTTCATAATTTTTAAGGACAGGATTTCTAGGCGCAGCCAAGTGGCGGAGGGCTTTCGCTTTGGTGGCCTCAGAATCTCATCTCTGATTTTTGCAGATGATGTCGTTCTGTTGGCTTCATCGGGTGAGGGCCTCCAGCTCGCACTGGAACGGTTCGCAGCCGAGTGTGAAGCAGCGGGAATGAGGATCAGCACCTCCAAATCTGAGGCCATGGTTCTCAGCCGGAAAAGGGTGGAGTGCCCACTCCGGGTCGGGGATGAGTTCCTGCCCCAAGTGGAGGAGTTCAAGTATCTCGGGGTCTTGTTCGCGAGTGATGGGAGAAGGGAGCCGGAGATCGACAGACGGATTGGGGCTGCAGCTGCAGTAATGCGGACGCTGCACCGGTCCGTCGTGGTGAAGAGGGAGCTGAGTGTAAAAGCGAAGCTCTCAATTTACCGGTCGATCTACGTCCCTACCCTCACCTATGGCCACGAGCTGTGGGTAGTGGTCGAAAGAACGAGATCACGGATACAAGCGGCAGAAATGAGCTTCCTCCGAAGGGTGGCTGGCCTCTCCCTTAGAGATAGGGTGAGAAGTTCGGCCATCCGGGAGGGGCTCAGAGTAGAGCTGCTGCTGCTCCACATCGAAAGGAGCCAGCTGAGGTGGTTCGGGCATCTGACAAGGATGCCTCCTGGGCGCCTCCTGGGTGAGGTGTTCCAGGCATGTCCCACCGGGAGGAGGCCCCGGGCAGACCCAGGACACACTGGAGAGATTATATCTCTCGGCTGGCCTGGGAACGCCTTGGTATTCCCCCGGATAAGCTGGAGGAGGTGGCTGGGGAGAGGGAGGTCTGGGCCTCTTTGCTTAGGCTGCTGCCCCCGCGACCCGGCCCCGGACAAAGCGGATGAGGATGGATGGATGGATTTTACAGCTTGTCCAACTCACAAAGATGTCTCCCACAGCTGCTCTTAATGCACCAAAGTACTAAAGTATCAGATAAACTATATATAATATATACAATATTATTACAGGATAGTCTCGGTAACAAACTGCCTGAACTTTTCTGTAATTTTATACATTTATGTTTTTACAATTTAACCCCCAAAAGTTGTGCCTACAGATTTCTTTCATTATATATAATTACAGCAGCATTTATGTATTATGCAAAAATACTGAGACTGAGGCTGAAATCACACTTAAATTTGTTATATTGAGATATTACAGGGATTAAATGTGAAGATAAAGTGACAGGAAGAGGATTTTCACCATTCTGGCCCAAAGCCAGCTGTATGTGGCCCGCTGCTTTAGGACAAATTTCAACTTGACTGATAGTAATGAAGGATTTTCTTCTTCTTTTTTTAATGAAATCCACCCTTTACTTTGTTTACATTCAGGCCATCCAGGCGACCATCCAGAGGCACGAGCAGACGATGGAGAGTTTCCGACACTTGAACTGTTCACTCCGAGATGATGACTCCACGCCGCCTCACTCTCCGGTAACACAAACACTCAGCGACAAAATTGACCCCCTGACATGAAGAGTGGAGTTCTTGAAATCCCAGAAATCATTCAGTTGTGACTCATATTCTCCCGTCTCTGCCTCTCAGAGCTGTGCTGAGCTGGGGAAACGAGCTCCGACTCCCATCAGAGAGAAGGAAGTGACTCTGTGTATGAAGTGTCAGGAGCCATTCAACTCCATTACCAAGAGGCGCCACCACTGCAAAGCCTGTGGACACGTACGTTCTTCATCCATAACATCTGTCTGCAACACCTACAGACAATTTAAAATCCACAGCACTGGACGACACCAGCTGATGTTTGCAGCGTCTGCAACGCCAGTGTGATGTGTTACAACGCTCTCCACATTCAGACTGTTCCCAACACCAGCCCACATCTGTAGTGTCTGTGACATGTGCAGCATCCACAACACCTCCACCTGCTGCTCACATTTATTGTACCCAGCATATCAGTCATACATGAGCTGATGTGAACATCTGTCGTAGCCCAGCACCTGGATATTTGTAGTATCTGCAGCACGTGCCTGCCAGACGTTTGTGGCACAACAACATTTTCAGACTTTACACAGCGTTGTCATAGTTACCAATTGTGTGATGGTCTATGTCGACTCCAGGTGGTTTGTGGGAAATGCTCGGAGTTCCGCGCTCGCCTGTCGTACGACAACAACCGAGCCAACCGCGTTTGCATCGACTGCTACGCCACGCTCGTGGGCGTGTCGCCGTCTCCCGCCGGGCTGACCAGCAGCAGCCACAGAAGGCGCTCCATCCTGGAGGTGAGTGTGACCACGCTCTGACATCACCCGGCGTTTGCCTCTGTCAGATCTCCACGGATGGAGCCGCTTGCACATTTCAGGATTTCTCTTTTCAAAGATGCTCGACAGGTCGAGTGTCGCAGACAGCTGATTCTCTTCTCATCCATCTCTCGTTGCTATAGAAACAGGCCTCGTTGGCAGCAGAGAACAGTGTGATTTGTAGTTTTCTGCATCACATGGAGAAAGGAGGAGGGCGGGGCTGGCAGAAAGCCTGGTTCGTCATCCCCGAGAACGAGCCGCTGGTGCTCTACATCTATGGAGCTCCACAGGTACGCTATAAATTTACATTCATGTCAAATATATAAGAAGGCGCTTTCCTGTTAATCCAATTGAACAGGAACCGGCTGCAGTTCATACAGGGATCCAGTAGAGGTCGCTGCATCCCTGGATGGGAATGGAGATACAGTTAAATTTTTTAGCTGCACCTCCTTTCACCTCTGTCCTTTTCTTGTGAGCGCTCTGTACAAAACAGGAAATGCTGGGAGTTCTGGATTGTATTAGAAGCTCTCTGGTGGCATTGACAATCTGCAACCTTGCTAGTGCCCCCTACAGGCTTCTTTATTGATTACAGCCACAATATTAGCAAACACTGTCCTGCTGGAACATCAGCACCTCGTCCTATGGTGCCTTCTGTATGGAAGCCTGTTCCTGCCACTGAGGAAAACCTTTTTTGCCATCTGTAAGTCAGAATTTCAAGTTATTTCTCAGAAGTCGGATTTACTAAGATGAAGTTTGGAGATAATATCCCATAATTTTGATTTATGGATGATTTATTTGCAGTGGCAAAAAAAGCTTCCATACTTCTGTGAGGTCACAGGGAATAACTCTTTGTTTACATTATCAACCAATCAGAACACGGCAGACAGAAAATTATGATGGTGATGGAGGCTTCCAGTTTCTGTTCTGACTGGTCTGGTCTTTGACGTTGGGATGAAATCGAATTACACCCTCAATGAACTCAATTTATTCTTTTTCCCACAGGATGTGAAGGCGCAGCGCAGCGTGCCTCTGATTGGCTTCGAGGTCTCTCTGCCCGAGTCATGTGACCGCCTGGAGCGACGCCACGCCTTCAAGATCTCCCAGAGCCACCTGACCCTCTACTTCAGCGCCGACGGGGAAGAGCTGCAGCGGCGATGGATGGACATCCTGTCCAGGGCTGGGAGGGGGGAGGAGCTTCAGTTCCACCGACCAATTGTGGAGAGTCTTGAGGAGGAGGGGGAGGAGTTTGCAGCTGTGGCAGAGGAAGAAAACACGTGATTCTGTAGGACAAGGAATGATGGCGATGATGAAGATGGGGGCCTTTAAATGAGGATCAGTTGGAAACCAGAAAAGAAAACAAACTGTTGTAGCTAAAATATCTCACACACACACACACACAAACACACACACACACACACACACACACACACACACACTCTGCTCTCTCTGTGTATTTAAAGTTGCGTGGTTCGTCTGCATGATTCCTCCCGGCTGTCCACACGAGTTGGCGTCTCTCACTCTTTCTCTCTGTCTCACTTCACCTTTTTCTAACCAGTGTTGAATCGGCGTAGTGGGCGGAGCCTCTTCTGACAGTTGTCTCTCCTTTGAACAATCACGTCACACTCATTCGAGTGTCCTGCGTCACCATTTTCTTGATTTCAGCACTCCCACGAGCCTCAGCTTCATCCGGAGTTATGACATCACCGTCGCGTCCTATTTGAAATATTTCGTCCACAAAGACCCGAAAGTGAAACGATGAGAGCCGTAAGGAGCACGTGCACCGCTCATTCGCTGGTTTTTAAGTCATTATAGTAACAATTCAACATTTTTCTCCCTGCTGTCGCGCAGATAAACCAGAAGACGCCACCTCTTGTTTGTGGCCACTTTTTGATACTTCACAGAATAAATAAAAATTCAGTATAAAAACGATCCGCACATGAATTGATAAGGACAAGCGTTATTACTTTCAGCTGCTGCAAACCCCGAAGCTCTCTGATTGGACGTTTCCTGGACTTGATCAACAATAAAGCACATCGAACCAACCCCACTGCAAGTCCTCCGCCGCCCACACTTTAAGTTCATGTAACCGGATTTCTGGTGAGAGTCTCTCGCTGGTTTGTAACAGGTTTGGTGACTGGGAGCAAATAAAGTCACATTTCCTCTACAAGTAATCAGAGGTGTTACTTCCAGGGACTCATGTTGAGAAATTTAACCCTGCGTGGGATAAAATCCTCGTTTAGATCTGGTGGAAAAGCTGGTAGAAGAACTGAGCTCCTCAGCAGGCGTCACAGGAAATGGAAACGACTTTTAAATAAGTGTGATGTGTCTGAGTCAAACAGCAAAAACAACGTTTCAGAACCACGTTAGTCTTCTCCTGATGTCGTCTCCCGGCTGGATTAATCCTCTATGAGCTCCTGAGCATCCACAGAACATGCAGAATGTGCTCCAGCATAAAGCAGAGGAAGAACCCACAAACTGCAAGTAAAAAAAATCCATATGAAGATTCAAAACACAGTTATTATTTTGTATAAACACAAATATCTGACAAAACAGAGAAAATGTCAGGAGCGAGTAATCCGAGCATCCTTAAACTCCCACTTATAGTCAGATGAAAGCTGATTGGTTGTGGAAGTGTGACTCAGGTCCTGATTGAGAACAACAGGCTCCAAAGGTCAGACGTGTGAATCCCAAATGTAAGGTGAGGATGTGAATAAGCAGCAGGTTTCCTCCCTGCGTTAAAAAAGAAGCTGAGCTGTGCTAAAAAAGGTCGATGGTGGGAACAGCAGATTTGAAAAACACAAAGGAAGAATTGGACCGATGTTTCCTTCATCAATGCACTTAAATGACTTTTGGATTTTTACCGCCAATTTACCCCAGTGAAGAAATTCTGGCTTTCAACTTTTCAACCAATTGGAGGAAAGCAGCAGTTCCTCCGCAGCAGCCTCTGCTGTTGAGGTTTTAGCTGAAGCTTTCCTGCCCTCTGCTGGTAAAGTCCGGAACTGCAGTTAAAAAAAATCCCTGATCCTGTTCCTCACAGACCTGCAGAAAGTAGCTCAACGTTTGAAGTTTTATTTAAACTTCTCAGTCTGAGATATTTTTTCATGTATTTATTTCCTGAGAGGATGATGTTTGTTTCTCAGAGTTCAAACAGTTTCTTCAGTCCGACAAAAAAAAAGCTGAATCAGACAAACTGGAAGTTTCTTGTATTTATTTATGCTTAACAACTGAAGAGGTGTTATTAACTGTTCAGTCTTCTGCACAATAATAATATTATTAATAATAATGAGTTAAATGTTGATGATTGATTTTCAGATTTTCTTTTGAAATTAGGATTTTCTGCTCTTGATCTTCAGAGGTTGGTATGAAAGGACTTTGTATCTCCTGATTTTGACCAAGAAACTCTTTCTGATGCAGATACAGTCTCAGTTAAAATGACTAAAAATAAACATTTTGACTTCACATGTTCTGATTTTGACATAATGTCCTAAATTTAATAGACAGTTCTGTTAATGTTTCATTATTTAATCTGACTGCGGTACAAACGGCAACATTTTAATGTAACACTTTGCATTCAGGAAAGAAAAGCCTTTCGAGGAGGTTCTCGTGTAAATATGATTCAGTTTTTATAATTATTAGGTATGTAAGTCATGTGGTCCTGTTAAACTACAACCTCCAAAATACTTTGCTTTTGTGAATGCAAAATGTCAAACATATAATTTGGAAGAAGAAAATGTTTATGTGGAGCTGAAAGGATTTATTTTGAATTTCTAGCTGCTCCCAGTGTCTGATTTTTGTGTTTTTTAATGGCAGTAAAATGACTATTTTGGATTTTTAGATTGTTGATTCAGACATTTGAAGACTTGGACTCTGAGAAACTGACGTTTTCTGACTTTTATTGACCAGAAGATTTATACGATATAAAAAATAATAATGGAAATAATCGTCCAATGAAAGGACTCTTACGATGATGTTTTTTGGATGTATAAAGTTTGGATGTTTTTAAGGACAGAGTCTCTAACAGGTCCTGGACCGGACTGCGGACCTTCACGTCTCTCTGGGTCTGACCCATTCGGTATTTTGTTTCCTGAAATGAATCCAGCGATTAGATGGAGCCGATCTGAACAGAAATCAAAAGAAAAACTAAAGGCTTTTGTTGTTTTTCTTATTTTGACTTGCAGTGGTTCAGTATTTCTCTCTCTGTCTCTATAAACACATTTTGGACAAAGTGTTTTGATAGTGAAAAAAAAAGCAGATATTATGAATATTATTGTTACACTACGATGAACTGAAACGACTTGTTGTTGGATATTTCTGTGTTTATGAGTCTGGATTGTGTTGATGTTTGCTTGATGCAAGTTGATGCAAGAAGAAAACAAAGTAAAGATTTTGTAAATATATAATTTATTCTCCCGTGACCCTGTCAGGTCATGTGACTGTGTAAAGGTTAAAAGGTTAACGCTTGCTGTTCCTCCGCACAGCCAGAGCCACGCAGACGGTTCGAGGACTGATGGGGTGAAGGTTAAAGGAACAACCTGACGTTTCAGTGACGTCTGTAGCTGTGAGATCGAACACTGGAAGCAGGGGGAACCTGTTAGCGTAGAAAGGAAAAGAAAATACTGCCCGGCCAAAAAGAAACGTCACACACTCTTATGGTTTTCTGGACCGCCTTTAAATTTGTGGTTTGTGTCGACAAACCTGTGCATTGTCACAACACTTATTTCCATCCAGAGTTGTGGTCATTTATTGACAGCAAGGTCTTTGATGATTGAAGATTCGAATCCCTGTCTTAAAGATTCGGTTATGGTCTGGACTCTGTGGTGGCCAATCTGATTTGAGCCCGATGCATCCTGGCAAATCCAATCATTGACGTGGTCAGCTGACCTGTTCTAGGTCACGTAACATTGCTGAACCATGACCTGACCAACTGAAGAAACCCCAGATCATAGTCGTCATGACCTTTGTCCAGTGCTCCAGAGTCTGATCTTCATACTCCCTAACAAATCAAAGCCATTCTTTTCAATTAGCTTCACCAATAATTGTTTTCCTTAAGGGGACACCGATGTTTTGTCCCAATCACTGCGTGTGGAAATTGATTTTTTTTACACGTTCACCAAACGTTGAAAGTGACAGCCGATCCCAATCGTTCAACACATTTTTCAGACCACGTATCTTTTTTAAAGATGATGGTTCAACACTTTCTGGATAATTCTTAACCCAGTTCTATGATTTTCAGTATCTCCTTTGCTTGAAGCAATAATTTGACCTTCTAGTAAGAAAGTAACGTGTTTTCCATGACCCAGGATACGTCTTCTGACACAGTTTTTAAAAAATAAGAAGCTACTCATATTAATCACTGGACTAATTATACAGAGGATGGCTCTTGCCCATTTGCTTATTGAACTCTAGATAGTGACTTTCTTTTTGGTTTGGCAGTGGATAAACTTATAAGATGGCTGGTAGAGAGGAGTGCAGTATGTCGATGTGGTGGTTATCTTTGAGCGGAGTTTAAAAGACGACGCTTTTCCAGGACAGCTTTCTAAAGTTTTCTGTCAGAATTGATCAAAATTCTGCTCAAGATGGTGGAAGTTGTAAAATTGGACAGGAAGAAATACAAGTGAAGAAAGTTAAAAGAAGTTGGAGAGTAATTGCAACAGGCTGCATGCAGCTGCTTTGCCTCGTTAACAGACTGTTAATCAGTTATTGGTGGTCGCTGATAAAGCTAAAATACCAAAGATGTGCTTGTTCCTGCTCCTCCTTTCACTTTCTGCTGGACCGTCACAGTTTAAAGGCCAAGCTACTCATCAAAAATCAGTCAAAATCATGAAACTTGTGTTAGTTATCGAGCTAATGACACGCAGCTGCTTTCTCTTAATGTAAAATGCAAATGAATAGGTTGGAAAAGCTAAGCTAACAGTTCCCCTTTGCTTCCACAGTTTGTGCTAAGCTACATGCTAACCAGAGCAGAATCTCTGGGAAGCGTTTCGTGATTCTGCATTACACAAACTTTCCTCTCAAAATGTGGAAGCTTTTCTTTAGCTTCTACCTCACCGCCTCGCTATCTGGTGCTCAGTCTGCACGTGGCTCTGGTTGCTACAGTGTGTTTTTTAGCGTGTTTTTGGCATGCAAAGCAGTGATAATGGAAGGAAATGGCCAGTAACTCAGCCTTATATAGCTCCCATCATCATCAACTGTTTTGATGTGGTGAAAAATGCTTAAGTTGCTTCTTTTTGTTTGAGTTTTACTGAATCTTTTCTGTTGCCAGAGATCATTGCAGACTGGATTAAACTGTTCCTCACTGGTTCTGACGACAGTATATAAAGATGGACATAGCCACCATGAAGTTAGCCATTGGTTTGTGTGGAATCCATAGATACTGGATAATTAATGCTAAATAGCAAATTAAAGTAGTACAATTTCACTTAAAAAACAAGTCATAATATGTATAAGATAATTTTATTACATGAAAACTGTCAATTTGGTTCACTCATTGGATTTGAATTTGTTGGCTGTAACGTCTTTGTAGAGATTCTTCTGCCAATCAAAGTAGGGACGCCTCTAATACTGACAACTTAAGTATAACTAAGTTCACCCCACTACAGTTTTTATAAAGGTTTAAATTAGCCACAGAGACCAAACCCATGTTGTGGACCAGGGCGTAAACATGTTTGTTTCTGCTGTACACTCAGACATTTTAACACGGGAGACTCACTGTTGTAGGCCGCCTCAAGTGGCCAGGTGAGGAACTGCAGTTTAAAAACAATGGGTACTTTTTGGGTACTAAAATAGTTCAAACCAAGCATGCTTGGTTTGAACTATTTTAGTTTTTGAAGCAGTTTAAAGAAATATTTGTATCCGCCTCAGCCCCTGATGCGGTTTGTAGTTTCAGAGCAGTGAAATGCTGGTGCTGGTCTAGGATCAGTTATTCTGTCCAAAGAAGAGAAACTGGCTTCTGTGTAAAAACTCCTCTAGTTCTGATTTTTGCCTTACAGCTTCTGAACTCTTCTTTGTGCCAATTCAGATGGGTGTCAGTATTTAGCCTTTCAGTCTGCAGCTTTATATTTATTTGTTATTTTATTCCAAAGGTGTTATTACTGCTTTTATTGCTCTTTTTATTATTATTATTTTAATTTTTTGTTTTCTTTGGGGCAGTTCTGATGTGATCACAGGGGCGTTTGTGCTGTGGACTGTTAATGGCTGACGTTCCCACACCTCTGGTGTAACAGCAGCACCGTTGTGTATTCTTCTCCTTCATGTTGTACTTAGAAGTATATTGTTATTATTGATTGAGTATTGATTGATTGCAGGTTATTGGTTAGTGGCCGGCCACTGCCTTCCATGCTGTCGATGTCTGTTTCCCATCATGCCCCCTCTGTAAGAAGATAAAATGACAAGTGTTATAAATAAAATAAAAGTATAAAAACTGATGTGAAATGTCTGTCTGGATTTTCATATGTTGTCACTACTACTGCTGACATATTCAGAAAACTTTATTGAAATGTTGGGCAAATATTTACAGCTGAAGCAACAGCAAAAACAACAGCGCCATCTAGTGATGACAAAGAGCAATACAGCGTAGGGAGTTGAAAACAGAAAACATTGAATACAACAAGTGAATAAAAGGAATAAAAATTGAGTTGTAAATGTTACAAAGTTTATTAAGATGAATTATATACATATTAATTGTTATATTAGTGAAAGGTCAGCTCATAAAAGTGCTTAATTAAGCCAGACCCGTCACATTAGCTGTAGAAATTAAATGTACACTAACCGACTGCATCATTAGGTTCACCTGCTCAGCTCCTTGTTAGTAAAATATTTAATCAGCCAATCACGTGACAGCAAATCAATTCATTTAGACATGGTCAAGATTACCTGCTGGAGTTCAAAATGATCCTCAGAATGAAGAAACAAGGGGAGTGAAGTGATGTTAAATGTGGCATTGTTGTTGGTCTGAGCATTTCTGGGTGGGATTTTCCCACACAACCATCGCTTCACCGATAACGGTCTAAAAAAATAGAAAATAGTGTCAGTTCTTGGGTAAAAATGTTCAGGTCAGAGGAGAATAACCAGACTGTTTTGATTAGATAGGAACACAAATAACAGCTCGTTACAACCGAGTTTTGCAGAAGTGCATCTCTGATAGTGAACCTTGAAGCAGAAGGACTACAGCAGCAGAAGACCGCACCACTCCAGTCAGATAACAGCAGGAAACTGAGGCTGCCGTTAAAAGAGGCCCACCGAAACTGGATAATAGAAAAATTGCTCTGATGAGTCTCGATTTCTTCTGTGGTAGGGTCAGAATTTGGTCCAAACAACGTGAAAGCATGGATCCAACCTATCCTGCATAATAGCTTACAAAGGGGTGAAGATATTTTTCTCGACACACGATGGACATCTGCTGACAAATCTATAGCCACTGCATGACGCAATCATGTCACTGTGGAAATCAGACATTTTAAATAAATTCAATTCAATTTCAATTCAATCTTTATTGGCAGACTTCATGTCCATAAAAACAAGACAAAAAACACACACACACACAACACTCCCCCCCCCCCCCCCCCCCCCCAACACAAGGTACAAACCATTAAATATATATATGTATATAAATAAGTATCTAAAACATTTGTAAAAATATAAAACCATAATATACATAAAACACAATTACTTAAAATAAATCAATAAATACACAAGCACTTTAACCAGTGCTTTCTGAGACTGGATGAGTAACGGGAACCACTCAGTGCTAAAATTATACTGTTACTCGAACCATCCAGTCGTTCTCTAAAATTGAACATTAGCTTCCTTAAAAGTGCTTTAAAAGTCCAAACACCCACAGCTACAAACATCTGGCTGGCACTACCACTTCTAGGTATCCTGCAAAGGATTCTCATCGCATCATTATATGCAACATGCAGCTTCTGCATGCTACATTGTTTGTAGGATGACCACATAAAAATAAATAAATCATATAATGACAAAAAGCAACTCCAAGGTTAAAAATGAAATCTTGAAAAAGTCATAAAATCAGGATAGAAAATCCTACTTGATGAAAAATTCCAGACAAAACTTCAAAATTGTGCATTTAAAAAAAATTTATTTTAATAAGACAAATGTGCTTCTATAAATCAATTACAGACTGACTTCAAGCTACAAAACAAATCTCCAATCAATACTTCTGATTAGATGTAGCAGGACAGCGATGACGCAGTGTCAGTTGTGATTGCATGTCTAGAAACAAGGTGACCTCCAGCAGCAGAGAGCATACCTGGACTTCTCTCAATTTATTAATTTTCGGGTCTAATTTACTTTCATGTTTAAGGTGAGCTGTAGTCTCTTTTTAAAGAGACTGTAAATGTTTTTCTTACGTCATCCTACGCTGATGTAAGATTTAGTCATCATTTTCTCTTAACTTTCCCCGCCTGACCGCTTCGCGTCGTTCCGGCCTTCTGATTGGACACTGTCCTGCCACTCTGAGCTCGGCTGATAAGACGTGCTAGGCTAACGTCACCCGGGGGATTTCCTCCCTACCCCCCCTGCTCCCTCCCCACTACCGCTTCCCGTAACAGTTGAGATAAAAACAAACAAAATGGCGGCTGCTCCTCTGTTCTGTAAGCGCCGAGCTTCAGCGGCAGCCGCTGATTGGTAAGGCAGCAAGCAAAGAAGCAGTTCTATTGGCTGGCGGTTAGCAGCGGAGCAACTTATTGGTCAGCGGGAGATCAGTCCAGCCGCTCAGACCTGCCCCATCCAAACATAGAAATACAACGAGTAGAAAATACATGAAAACGTTTTTCAATTTAAAAAAACAAAACAAAACATTATTTTATCATTATTTTATCACCATTTGACCTTAGAACTGAAGAAACTTCTCGGATGAGAGGTGAAACGTCTTCAAGCAACTTAAAGAAGTCCAGACGCTTTTCTTTGCAAGCTCCTTTGACTACGACGACCTGGATGACTGAGAACCTTCACAGACACTTTATCAGATTGTTTATTGTTTAGTAATTTTTTTAATCAATACTATTTTTACTGCAAAATGTAAAATAGTTTTTGTTGGTTTGTTTATTATTTTTAATAACCACAGTTGGGGTTTTTTCTGTTAATTTACATATTAATTTAATTTTGTGGAGAAGGACCTGAACCTTTTATACTTGATATTACAAATAATTAGGTTTTAACTAATTAATTGACAAATTAAACTAAAATAATTTCATCAGTAATCTAATTTCGTTAAATTTAAATTTCGTTTAAACAAATAAATATCACAAAATAAATATTATAAGAAAAAATATCCAGTATAAAAATGGGGCACCAGACTAGAAAATATGTGCAAATATGTTTGTTTCACCTGGTTTAAAATCACCCAAAATATTCATACGTTTCGGGGAAAATGTTTTAGCATAAATTGACTTTTATGGACGAATTACTGGAGTAATAGATGATCTATAGGAGATAAATATCTTCAATCCGCTGACAGGCATAGACACACAGATTGCATATTGCAGGTTCTGTTTAATGAATGCACCTACTCGACTGTTTTGCGGAGTTTTATTTACTCGGAAGTGTGGGTCTGTTCTATGTGGTGTTTTTCTGGGCTGACAGCTGTCTGTGATTCAGTCTGTCTCTTCATCTTTACTGAGAACTTGAACCTGAGTCGTCCTCGTTTTCATCATCCTCGTCTTCTCCTCCGTGTGGAGTCAAAGGGTCTGGACCGGATCGAGGTTCCTCTGCTGCCCCTCTGAGACTTTGATCTCGCAGTGGCTGCTGGGAGATAAAGAGCTTCTCCTTTTCTTCTTCGGAGTCCGCAGAGATGTCAGCCGTTATCCCGGAGCAGGTCCGGAGCGAGCAGGGGAGCTGCAGCGGAGCCGAGCCGGAGCAGCCGGAGGCCGGCGTCTTGCAGCCGCAGACCGTGTTTGTCATCCTAGACCCGGCGGAAACTCTCAACGTGGTCCGGTGAGTCAGGAAGTTTTTTTTCTGGTTTTTTTTACACCGTTACTCGTGCCGCGGGGAGAAGCTCCTGGGTTAAAATCTATGGTATTAACTCATAATAAAAGAATAATGTCCGTGAAAGAGACTGCAGGGAGAGTTCAGGCGTGCAGTTTCCCCCCTTACACTCATGACCTGTGCTGTAAACAAGTTACTGTTTAACGTTTATTACAGACTGGTGCTGTTAAAGCCTCCTATGAAATATTTCGGTGTAACTGTAAAACTGGAAGAGTTTAAAACGCGTTTCACTATTATTTTGTAGCCAGGTAAAGTCTAAATTTGACAGTTTATGAATGAAGTTTGGTGTGAAGTGCTCTCCGAGTACCTCAGCTCTGAACGTGTAAAGTGCTGAGTGTGTGTGATGGGATAATGATGATCATCAAGTTGTTGTTTGCACTGCCTGACCTTCGACCTCTGACCCTCTTTGCTTGCTGATCTATTGAGTCATCTATGGAGCTGCTGCAGCTCCTGTTATTTTCCCAGGAGACACAGATAGGGCCAGCCTAGTCCTCCCCAACTTATATAAAATATCCACACACACAAAAGAAAATTCACCTTTGTGTATAATCTATATTTATTTTTAAATACATATGTCATATGCCATCCCTAAAAATTCAAAGGTTGTCTTCCGATTGGTTTTCTGAGGTGCAGAAAAACTTTAAATGGCTGAAGTCATGAATGGAGTTTGTTGTGTTCTCTTGATTTGTGTTGATGATAGTTGGAAAAGGTTTAAGCGCCATGACATGTTCAGTCTTGGCTTGCCCTTACCACAGAAGCAGCACTTAAGCTCACAATACACACACACACACACACACACACACACAAATGATGTTGGCGGTGAGAGAGAAAGCAAAAGTAACAACAAGCAGGAGTGTTTCCCAACTGTCTGAGGGGAGGAGAGTGGAGAAGGGTGGGGGTCTTGGTATGTGTCTATGGTGGGGGTGGGGTTGTGTATGAGCATGGAACAGCAGGAAGTGACTCAGCAGAAGAAATTCTCTAAACACTCGTTTGTCCCTCTGTCTTTGTGAGGACCATCAGTCACATCATGTGTTGCAGACAGTGAGGACCTGTTGTAATGTCCCCACCATGTCAGAATCTAATATGTTTGCAAAATGTACACTGAAAGGTTTTCCATACATTCCATTATCGAAGAAGTCTTCAAGCCCTTAAAATCCTGTTATTTAAAAATTTTCTATCTTTCCAAATTCACAAATGTCCCCACTTTACATTAATAAATACATGTTTCAAAAATATGCGGCAAAAAGTTAACATTTTCCAGAGTTGTCTGAATGTCTCACAGTGATTCGCATTTTCATGCAAACATCCCCATTCCGTAAAATGTCCCCACTTTGTGTAAATGTCCCCATTTTTGCAACTAAAAATCACCATTTTCCAGAGTTGTCTGAATGTCTCACAGCTGTTCACACTTTCATGAAAACGTCCCCATTCTGGCCAAATGTCCCTACTTTGCAAAACTTGTCTCCATTTTGAAAATGTCTTGCTTTAAAGGTTTGTGAGACGTCAAAGTTTGTCCCAACTTGATAAAGCTTATCCACAGAGCAGACATGTCCTCACAAGTCTTCAGTCTGATTTGGGTCCCCATGAAGCAGCCTTACAAGCACTCATGCTCATGCACCCAAACACAGGAAGTGGTAAAGCCTAACAGCTGACAGATGTTGTTCCTCCACATTCTGCTTCTCTGTATAAAAATATTTCTATCACTCTAAGAAGTGAGTCTCAAACAAACGCTGCAGTGTATTCATAACTGTGGTGAAAGGCTGGACTTTTTACTGCCATGTCTCAGGGTTTTTTCGTTTATTTCCAAACTGAACATATGAAGAGCTGTTAAACTTGGAGGTAAACATCAGATAAGCAGGAGCGCACACACAATTTAAATGTAATCATTGTAACAAGGTGGAAATGACGATGGCTCTTGCATCAAATGTATTGTCTCTCTTTCCTGTACATTGAAAAATGCTGGTTTAAATGCTGACTGGATAATTGTGTCTGTCTCTCAGGCTGCTGATTGGTTGATTTCTGTCTCTGCCCCTCAGAGTGGAGTCTGGGATCGTTGCTGACATCGAGGTCGACGGTCTGCTGCCATCTGACTGCGACACCTTCTATGAAATCAAGAGTCAGCCAATCAGCATCAGGTAACACAGCTCTGACCTCAAAGTATGGATTCTACAGGTGACTCCTCCAACACCACCTACACCACCTGTTGATTATGATAACTAAAGTGTGCTGTCATTTCTGTCTTCAGTTCATCAGCAGCAGCTCCCTCCTCTTCATCTTCTTCACTGCCGTCAGTGATGTCATCGAGGTATACAACTCCCCCACTTCTTCTTTTGTTCCTGTCTTCGCTCATCTCTCTGTCCTCCAGAGGGCGCTCTCACAAGCACTGTCGATAACGTCCACCTCCTTACTCCTCCTGTAGGGTTTTGATGCGTCAGGATCTGATGCGTCAGCAGGCTCTGGAGGAGGAGCATAAAGAGACGCAGAAGAAGCAACAGCAGCTTCTTCGCTTCTCCGACTCCTCCTCGCCCATCTGCGTCTCGGTGCCCTCCTCCTGCATACCTCCTGCTCAGGTCCCTGTGGAGGTGCTAAAGGTGCGTGGAGTAAACTGAAACGAGAGGTGTCAGAAAATGGACGCCAGTGAACGTACTGCACAAAAAAATTAAATATCGACTTTGACTACATTTATTGTTTAAATATGCAAACAAATATAAAAAGTATTTAAAGCTAAACACCTGGCTAACCCTTTAATCAGCGACGCGCTGATAGCACACCCTTCAGATAGCCGTTTGTTATTGTCTGATGATTTATTAGCTTATAAATCTTATTTGCTTTTGTGAAAACTGATTAGCAGATGCAATTTGAAGTCCTTTCCCTAAAATCTATTGGCTAAATCTCAACAATGTGCTAAAATGCTATGTATGGACGCGACCTGCTAGCTTTATATGTATACAGTTATCGTTTGCAACATTTTAAGTCTTTTAAATCTTCACTCTTGGCCCTCAGGTGCAGACTCACCTGGAGAATCCCACCAGGTATCACATCCAGCAGGCTCAGAGGCAGCAGGTCCGTCAGTACCTGTCCACCACCAAGACAGCCAATCAGCAGCAGGCTGCAGTGGCAAGCCACTCCCCCCAGCTGGGTTCCACCCCTGGACAGCCAATGGACGGGAGCCCCAAACAGGAAGTAAGAAATAAACATGTGAACAAACAAACAGGCTTTATTTTTAGACTGAATCGTGTTATGTGAAGTATACTTTGGTATTTTTGTATCAGCAACTCTTATTAAAAACATCTGTAAGAAAAATGAAGTGAAAATAATCAGAAGTAGAAGGTTTACTGGTTGGTTTGTCTTACTGGCATCCAGTTGGATGAGTTATGAAAGAATTGACCCACAGTACAGTTGCTATGAAACAAACTATCCAGAGAGGCCAAAACTGTGTTTGCTCAGGTTGTAAACTTCTGCTGTAAATTTCGACATTTTCATGGAGATTGACTCACTGTTGGGTTGAGCCTCCAGTGGCCACTAGAGGAACTGCAGTTTGTGTGTGCCTTTGGTATTTTGCTGGGTTAGCCTGGATCTGAAATAACATGCTCAGCTCACTCAGAGTGAATCCCATTCTGTGCACAGTAAAATGATTGTTTTCGCAAGTAAAGTCTGGTGGCTCTAAAAGGAGCCATTTCCTCTGTATAGATTTCCACAAAACATAAGCAAACACATGTGTTGACTGTTGGCACACATGTGATTATTACAAAGGTAAAGCTGCAGGGGATTTCTGAGAATGAGCTTGAGGTTACTGAGGGAGAACTGAGTCCCGGCTTTGCAACGTGGAGAGTGCAATGAGAGGAAAGATGCAAACACAGGTACAGCTTTACTAAAGAAACACCTTATATAACATCAAAGCATATCAGTGCTGTCGCCTCCTGTGTCTTATGTAAAAATGTTTCTAGCTTTCTGTGCTTTGACACCCAGACCTAGAAAGTGAGAAACACACAATGAGGTAAACGGGCTGTCATGTGCTTTGGGTTTCTACAAAAACACAGTGACAGCTTCTGAAACTCTCATTTCTCTGTTTATCCATCATTGAAAGCTTTATCTAAATCCCTTCAACATACAATAAGAGCATCTCTATTTCCCACCATAGCTTCTATACTCGCCGTGTTTCACGCCTCATTTATGTGTCACGTCTGAGAAGACATTTCAGCATCTTCCTCTCTCCTCCAGATGCATTTTGAGCACTGAATCGTCCCCCCGGGTCTGATTCATCTCTGGATGAAAGGCAGCAGGAAGGAAGAGAGAGGGCAAAATAGAGACATAAGAAGAAAACCTGCAGTGACAGTTTAAAGGAGCATTTCACTTGTTTTCATTCATTCAGTCAGCCAGCAGCAGCCTTCCCGTCTGAGTCTGCTGAGTCGACTCTTCCAGAGGATCTGAGTCAGTTTTAAAACATGAGTCACCTTAAAACACAAAATCCTCCCTTTTTATTCAGAGATCAACAGATTTTTAAAAACTAGTTTAATTAAAAAAAAAAAAAAAAAAAAAAAAAAGCCTCTTTGCAGCCAGAAAAGTAAAATATGGTATTCTGAGGCACGGTGTTGGGTTTGAGACTTCTGGCATAATTCAGCAAAAACTGATTTCATCATCAGGAGGAGCGACCAGGGCGTGACTTTGTTTTAGATGTTTCCTGACGCTGAGCACAAATATGCAGCTTTCAGCACGAAATACGTGTATTTATATAGAAGTAGAGAGGTGTCACCATGGTAACCAAGAAAGAAGTGGCAACAGACATTAAAGAGTGCCTGGTGTGCAGACTCTACATTGACCAGTGGAGCAAAGCTGAACCAGATTAACTCAAATTGTGTATAATAATGAAGATTAGGATCTCAATACTGTTATTGCTTTATTTATTTATTTATTTATTTATTTATTTTTGTGTCCCGTTTGGATCTTTAGCCATCAGAATTGTTGTCTCAAGGCAAAGAAAGATGCCAAGCGGATTTATTTTACCAAGTGGATCATCATGGCCTTGCCATATTGGTCCATTTGATTGACCTTTATTATAATTATGAATTTATTTTGTTTTCAGTTGCTACAAACGGGACAGACATGACTGGGGGATAGGACAGGGAGAAAGAATGAAAGAAAGAGAGGGAGAGAAAGAAAACCAAAGGGGAGAAGAGACGGTGAGAAGGGGGGGAAGAAAGAAAAAAACAAACAAACAAAAAAAACAAAACACCTGGGTCACCTGTATGGAGAAAAAAAACAGAAGAGAAAGCAAACAACAAAGAGCAACATAATAAAAAAAAACCGGCACCATCACAATAAACTAGCTAGCAGTAGATATCAGTAGATACTAAATAATAAACGATATTGTGCAGCACGCAAGATAGACAGCGCACAATGTGCTTTGAGGCAGCAGCCAAGAAAGGTGTAGTCCGCATCTGTGAATACCCGTGTGCATACCTGTGTGGATCAGCATGCTTGCATTCCAAAGGTTTCTCCATGTAATGATCTGCTAGGGAGTGTGGGGGAGCCACAGCCCCGTCCTCCAGGGCATGAAGCAGGTATGGAGGAGATCAAAACTCCAGACATCCAGAGGCCCCCAGAACACAAGAGACCAAGGAAGACCCACAGAGGGGCAGCCGCGCCACTGTCCCAGTAAGAGCTGAGGAGAGTCCCAGATGAGGGCTCACTCAGCAGCCGCGGAGCAGAAGCCAGGGGGAGTTGCAGTGACGCGCCCATGAGCTCCGCCGGCAGCCAGCTGTGCCTGAGTGACTGAGCCCCAGGCCGAGAGGCCGGGGACACCCCACCTCCGAAGTGGCCCGAGCGAGCCCCAGGCTCCAGGCCCCGATAAGCGGCCGCCAAGGAGTGAGCCGGTGTGTACCCGGACGCCCACCCCCAGACACAAAGAACCACCAACGCACCGATGTCTGAGGGAGTCCGCCACTGGCAGGGGAAGTGGTGGTGGGTGGAGATAGGCCTCCAAACCTTGGAGGGCCTGAGATGTCCCCAGAGAGGTGGCGTCTGATACCCAACCTGACATATAGACACAGACATACAGGCACACACAGACACAAACATCCATTCCCACCCTCATGCTCTCATGTGCACTTACTCCACACTCAACCAACGTGGAGACAGACATAAAGAGACGCTGTACACACAATCACACTCCCCAAGCGTACTCTACAAACCGGGTCTAGGTACCCTTGCCCCTGGAGGGGGGAACTGCACCCAGACCCAGGTGGTGTTACCCTTTTCCCTGCGGTGGGGAGAGGCAGACCGCCCGACTCTGCAGCAGCAGGGAGGCCCCACACTCCAGACCGCAGTCGGACGGCCAACTCCTCCTCCTAGTCCTAGCTCCCCTGCTCCAGCAGGCCGCAGAGAACGGGGGTGAGAGAAGACTCCAAACCTCCCTCCACCCACTCATTGTAGTGTTGATGCATGTGTGTTCTAAGGTGCATTTAAAACCCAGGAGGGCATGGAGCTACCTGCCAGAGAGCAGCAGGTAAGCGCATGGTCCCTCCTGCTAGCCCTCAATGTCTAAGTGTATTCAAAATTGAGAGGTGGGCAACGACGCCAGGGGTGAGGTGTACACCCTGATGGTAATTTGGACTCCGTGATTGTGCCCACCCCCAAGATCCTATATGTATGTGTAATGAGAGTGTGAATAATGTGAATGTCTAAGTTGTGGGATAAAATTGAGGCAGAGGCAGCCAGAAGGGGACAGAGGGGGGGTAGCCTCCTCTGCACCCTGGTGACATACCCCTACTCCAAGGCCCTGCATGTGTGGACCCTCACTGGACCCTCTACAGTTCGCATACCGCCACAACAGGTCCACTGATGATGCCATAGCCCTGACACTACACACTGCCCTGTCACACCTGGAGAAGAGAGACACGTATGTGAGGATGCTGTTTGTAGATTACAGCTCAGCATTCAATACCATCGTTCTCTCGAAGCTGGACAGGAAACTGCAGGATCTAGGACTGAGCAGCTCCCTCTGCAGCTGGATCCTTAGCTTCCTGTCTGACAGACGCCAAGTGGTCAGACTGGGCAGCATCACCTCATCCCCCGTCACACTGAACACTGGTGCTCCACAGGGGTGTGTACTGAGCCCTCTCCTGTACTCACTCTACACCTACGACTGCACGGCCACTAACAACTCCAACATCATTGTGAAGTTTGCGGACGACACTACAGTGGTGGGTCTTATCACCAACGGTGATGAGACGGCTTACAGGGAGGAGGTCAGCGCCCTGACCCACTGGTGTCAAGACAACCATCTCACCCTCAACGTCGCAAAGACAAAGGAGTTGATAGTGGACTTCCGGAGGTGCAGAGAAGTACACACCCCCATCACCATCAACGGCGCTGCTGTGGAGAGAGTGAGCAGCTTCCGCTTCCTTGGTGTACATCTGGCTGAGGATCTTACGTGGTCAGTACACACAAACAAAACAGTGAAGAAGGCGCAGCAGCGCCTCTTCTTTCTCAGGAGACTGAAAAGATTCGGCATGAGCCCCCGCATCCTCAGGACCTTCTATCACTGTGCCATTGAGAGCATCCTCACTGGATGCATCACCACCTGGTATGGCAACAGCACCGCCTACAACTGCAAAGCTCTCCAGCGAGTAGTGCGGTGCTCTGAACGGATAATTGGAGGTGAGCTTCCCTCCCTCCAAGACATCTACAGGAAGCGCTGCCTGAGGAAAGCGGGGAGGATCATCAAGGACTCCAGTCACCCCAGCCATCAACTGTTCAGACTACTTCCATCAGGAAGGAGGTTCTGCAGCATCCGGTCCCGTACCAGCAGACTGAGAGACAGCTTTTTCCACCAGGCCATCAGACTGCTGAACACTTCATAGACACCTCAGCTTCACTACTGGAACTTTAACATTATGCACTCCATACTGTACAGTAATGCCACTGTTTTGCACATGTCTCACTCTGTATATTTTATTTTATTTTATTTATTTTATATATTCTATTCATTGTTTACTCTATTTAATTTGTAAAATATGTGTACACACACACACACACACACACGTAGAAAAATATTTAGTATACACATCCAGAAATGCATATACTATTATATATTGTACATATATTTATTAGTTTCAGATGTAGCCATTCTTGTATTTTGCTTGTTTACATTATTGTATTTTGCACAACTCTGTTGCTTGTGAAGCTCGCACACAAGAATTTCACTCACATGTACTGTACCAATGTACCTGCACATGTGATGTGACAATAAAAGTGATTTGATTTGATTTGGTTGTGGTGGAGCGGGAAGAGGGAGGCAGCTGGAGATGGGGAGGGAAGGAAGGGAGGGGCAGGACCCAAGGCCCCGAGGCCCAGCCCGGGCCCCAGCCCAGAGACGGAGCGCCCCCAGAACCTCACGCCCATCCCGGACCCACCCAGGGGCAGACAGGCTACCAGGTAAGTAACCCACGTCCGTCAGCACAGACCCTCCCCTAGCCCCCTGCACGCAGCCACAAGGAAACAGTCACCCGAGAGCCAAAAGAGCCCCCAACCGGACATGACCGCTACCCCGGGTTGAGCCCCCCAAGGAAGATGCCCCCCCCCCCCGACGCCCTAAGCCTGTCCCTACCCCCACACCAATCACAACAGTGAAGGCGGGACCAAACTATGACCCCCCCACCCCCACTAGGTGATGGAGCCGATCAAAGGAGCTATACTGTTAATACTGTTAATGCTTAAATAGCATTCACACTAATTACCCGAGGTGACACAATGCTCATCTGCTCTGTGATTGGTTCATTCAGGTAGAAGACATCATCGTCGATGACATCATCAGCCTGGATTCGAGCCTGAACGACGAGTTTCTGACGCTGATCGACTCGGAGCTGCAGCTCGCCAACACGGTAACGCAACACGTGCACAAACACACTCGAAAACATCACACGGTGCATTCTCTGGTTTTACTTTTAAACGACGTGATGACTAACCGACAAACAGAAACAAACTCCTCCCCATCATCATCATCATCATCCGCCCCCTCCAACATGAAGGAAAACACCACACCGGCTGGAGCTGTGACGTGTTACTGTAACAATAAAACAAACCAAACCCACTTCTGATGATCGTGTCTGAGCTCAAGCAACACTGCCCCCATCAGGTCACATTGGGAAATACAACCCTGTTCCCTTGTTCAGTTATTAACGAGGAACTTTTTAAAATTACCCTCTGCAAAAATGTAACTTGAGCTTTCACCACCAGGGGGCAGCTTTTTATATCAGAGGCTTTTAGTGTAGCTGTGGAAAACTACTCCGGTTTTTGTTATTGTTTCGCTCTAGATTTGATCTCTTCTCTGCAATCGAGCGTGGGTTCTTTCTGAGAGTTTGTGCTGGTGGTGAAAAGGAGTTCTTTCCAGGTGCTTCAGTCACTGTTTGATGTGCCATTCACTCAAACGCCTGTCCTTTACGGCTGCTGCTTCCTTTGTTTCTCATGTTGTGCTCAGGGCAGATTGGATGGATGATACACTGGTTGGCTGACCTCTCCTGTGGTACACGTTGGTATTACATACTCGGATACAAAGTCCAGTTTCACTTCCCTGCAGGCTGACTCATGTTTAATTCAGTTCACACATGTTTTTAATTTAGTTTATTTTGATGAAATTTCAGTATATTTCTATATATTTTATTAAGTCTTTAATAAAGTTTTTAAGTCTGTGGGTTATCATATTAAATAATCAGGATCTCAGCAATGTTGTGAGCAGCTCAGTGGCCCAGTTTCATTTCAGCGTCAGCCCTTGGCTTTCATTCTGGTTTAAAGTTTTAACAAACAATAATACTATTTCACTCCATGGTTAAAGCTCATTTAAATGAATTAACTTCAGTTTTAATTCATTATCCAAATATTTTCACTCCTGTCCTCACAGCTGAAAGACTTTGGTGTTATGAATGACTGCTGTACAGCTGCTGTGGGCCAGATTTGTCCTATTGGTGAGATAGTTTTGGCCCCCGAGCCACATGTTTGACAACATGTCAGATTAGAAAACTCATCAGGAACATTACTGAGGCAAAGAATCAAGGCAGAATTAAGGTAATCTAAATACAGCCTGACTTTTTTGTGTGGGTTCTGTCGCCCCCTGCTGGCCATCACCTGGAGGAAATGCAGATGTTTCGTATGTGTGAAGCTGCAGTGACAGTGGAGGTGGAAGAGGCTGTCACAGAGTATCAGTTCAGCTTTCCAGACTTCCTCGTTTTTGTGGGTGGAGACACACGGTGCGTGTGTCAGGCAGATAATAAAGCTCTCTGGGAGTTTTCTTTTTTTGCTTTCTTTCTTAAAGAGACGTTTCCTCATTTTTAAACAGTTGTCTGAACAGAAAGGGGAAGCTCAGCAGCAGCTCAGCGACTCGCTGTGTGTCTGTCCGTGTGTCTGTGTGTGTGTGTGTGTTTGTTTGCATGTGTGTTTGTGTGCAATTAGCAAGATGAGGATTTTGGTGTTACTGCCCGACCATGAGAAGAGGAGGATTAAATCAGAGGTAAAATGTCCAGCTTGTATTTTTTGAGTTTGGGGAAAGTTTGACCTCTGACCTCTGGACTGCAGCTGCTCATTGAGGAAATGCAGCATAGTCGCCTTAAAGAGAAAACCGATTAAAACTGGGTTATTCCTCCAGATTGATGCCGTGTCTGCTGGTTTGCATTGTTTTTATACTTTAAACACATCACTCTCAGCTGCTTTTTAAATGTTTTATAGGCTTATCTGTTTAATCCTAACTTTTTTCATTCTCTGGAAACCTTTCTTGTAATTTCTCTATAAATCTGCTGCAGTTTGGCTGTAGCCTCCAGATGTTTCCTGCTCCCTTTGGTGCCCAGAATCAGATTTTTCTTTTGAAAGTGCCTGCTGTTTAAATTTGAGTTCTTAAGGAAAGCTGGCGTTTCCTAGAAAGATGATAAGAGGAGCTCTGAGCTGCAGGGCTGTGCCGATACGCACGGTAGTCAGTCAGCATTCATTCAACTGAAGTTTCTGCTCAACAGGCTGCAACACAAGATAAACTCAGCGGCTGATTTGTTGTCTGACTTACAGTTTAAGTTGCTGCAGTAAAAGAAAGTGCTTGGCTATTATTTAAAATGTATTAATCTAAATTAATACTTTTCTCTGTGCTGGAATTATGTCAGCAGTTAGCTTTCATTTCACCCGCCTCTCTAATAAAGATCAACTTCTTGGTTTGTATTGTGGTCTGGCGAGATTTGCATTTCTTCCTCTTTCAGGCTGTTTTAGCTTTGGCTGTGCTCTTAATGCGCTCTGATTCCATATTTTAAGAAATCTTTTAGTTAAAATCGAGGGTACCCATAAACTAATGATATCTCTAACTGGGTTTGTGTGGTAGGGAACTGAATTTGTAGTAAATCCCAGTTTAAAGAGGAATTGTTCCACTCGTCCAGTATTTTCTGTCATATATGTAATGTTACAAAGCCTGATGTTCATATTAATTATGAACGAGATTCATATTGCTCGAGTTATTTTATATTATATATTTTATGCGGTCACGCACAAAAAACAAAGCACAGCCACCAAGTACAGCTAGCACTCAGTGCTGCCCCTCTGTAGGCTGCTGGAAGCCGGCCAGTCAGAAGAAAGTGTGGATTATTAGATCATTTGGACAGAAGCAGTCACAGCTACTTTAGTTGAGTCCAAGAAGTGGAAATGATGATTGGAAACCTTTGACTTCAGATACGATTGAACCTCAAATGTCGCTATAAAATCTCTTTTCTTGGTAAACTTTGACACAGTACATTTTTCAGCATAATTATAGTAAGTAAAGATTTAGTTCCAAAGAGTAACCAAATACAATTAAAATGACAATAAAATAAGGTTAAAAATAAATAAATAAATTAGTCTGTCACATTTTTTTTAGGTTATTTGTATAAAATAGCATGAAATAAAACTCACAGCCAGGCCCTGATTTACTGTCATTTTTGTATTTTGATCTCAAATGAAAATATAAAGAAGCTAAAATGTTGATGAAGCTCTTAAAAATGTGCCCGTAGAGGAGATTCGTCCCCAAACAGACCGTCCAGGCCGGGAGGAGCTGGTTTCTGTTTCTGTCCCTGTTATCTGCGAGCCAGTTGTTAGCACAGCTTCCTGTTCGATCAGCAGATTCCTCAGTTTCTGACTTTAGTTGATGAGAGCTGACAGAAAAGTCAGACCTTAAACCAGCACACGTTTCATTTCTGCTCCACAGTTCATCGGCTACACAGAGCTCAGGAAAAAACAGTTTTAGTTCAGCGTGGTTTTAAAGTTGTCGCGGAACACTTAACTGGAGGCTCCTGATTCAGTGTCCAGTTGCTCAGTAGTCCATCCACGGTGGTGGTTTGACTAACCGCAGCTGATTGCAGAAACTGTGACCTCTGACCTCTGTGACAGCAGGTTAGCTGCTCAGACTCACCAGAGTGACGTGTGTGTGTTTGTGCATAAATGTGTGTTTTCTGGACTTCGCTGTTGACAGGAGGAGGGGGGATAATCTACCTGTCACTCATCTGATTCTGTGCTCTGATTGGTCCATGCAGCTCCCTGATCCTGAGAACTTGCTGGACGGGTATGGTGGCAGCGTCGGGAACACCATGCCTACGCTTACCATTAGTAACAGCTGCCCGGCCAACCTGCATGCCGTCAAGAGAGAGCTGACTGGTAAATATCACACACTCAGGTTACATGTTACCAGATACCATAGACTGTCGATGAAAGATGATGGACAGTTGGGCTTTGTGGACTCTGCATTTTGTGCTTTAGCTTCATCACGTTGGGTTGCTATCTTTCTGGAGCCAGAAGCAACCATACTTGGATATGAGGAGGGAGTGCTAAGTTTTAAACCTAGCAAGCTTGGTTAGCGAGCTGTTAATTGGCGCTAACAGATGAACAAAATGCTAGAAGGGTAGTACCACACTGCACAGTATTATTCCATTTCAGCGAGTGCAATTCGCAGCAACATCATTTGTTGTTTCAGGCTGTAAAGATGTTTGTTTCTGCTCTGAAGCTGGACATTTCAACACGGAGGTCTGTAGGGTTTACTTGCTTTTAGAGCCAGCTTTAAGTGGTCATTAGGGGAACGGCAATTTTGGGCTTTGCTGTGTTGGCTTCAGTTTTCAGCCCTGGAGTTGCTACTTGGCAGTTATGCATCAGTCAGGCTGTGAACCTGCAGACTTCTCATCAAAGAGGATGTTTGTCAGCTGGACAAGGAAGCATTTTCACCATACGTGATTTCCAGGAGCTCGAGCTGCAGACAGAAACTTATAAATATGCAGCCTCTGATTAGACTTTGAGGTCTTCCGAGTGCATTAAATCACCTGCAGGGGGCATCACAGTGACCACAAACACAGTTTATGTGAAAGCTTTTCAGATGAAAGCATTGTAAAACATAGACTCCTTGCAGGAGTGAGCTGCTGTGATTGGCTGCTCCTTCACGACGATTTGTGTCTGTCGTCGCGTTGCATCGTTCCAGCGTGCCGGGAGCGAGGCCCTTCGCTCTGTGTTTCCCTCTGTGCTTCCCTCTTGTTCCTCCTGGCTGAAAATGTGTTCTTAATTTTGATGAGTCAACATCACGACTTCCTCTGAACACGCACACACGGCCACGGCAGCCACTCGTATTTTCCCACATCATCAGTTCCAACTTCCTGTTCAGTCAACATGAACTTTTTGTCCAAGCTGAAACTGACATTCTGCTGTTTCTACGCTACAAAACAAGCGACATTAAAAAACACATGAAACAGAACTGACAGCTGTTGCTGCAGCAGAGAAAAGTCACTCACGATGAACTCATGATTGATCAATCGAATATTGATTGCGATTGATTTTTGATGTTGTTGTTGCAGAGGTGGAGTCCAAAGCTCTGATTAAAGAAAGACAGAAGAAGGACAATCACAACCTCAGTGAGTACGGCAGTATTACTCCACCAGCCAGTAAAATATTTGTGTGTTACTGTGTGGCATTCTTTCAGCAGATCTCAGAGGTAGATGTGAACCTGCAGGTTTCAGGTGTTTCTGATTCCTGACATGCTTCAGTTTTACAAAACTGACTGACATACTTGTGCCGACACACGTGCACGCTCCACTATAGAGAGAAATCTTTGGCTACTTCGCAGCATGTTGGTCGGTCTGAGCCGACTGGAAAACGTGTCTTAAAAGAAAAGCAGTAAGAAACGTAAACTCTCTATAAAAGATTATTAAAAACAAATTAAACTACTAAATCTTCAATTCAGTTTAAATATTCACATCATAAATATCATGTTCAATATAGACAAAATACAAGTCATGACAGTGTTACGAGGCGGAGGTGGCCACAGGTGTGACGTTCTATGTTTTAACACGTCCTTTCTGTCACCTCCACATCCACAAAGTTACTGGACTGTGGATCTGTTTATTGAGTCTGTTGTGGCCACTGCAGACTCATAAAACATCCTAAGCATCATCCAGCAGATGTTAAAGATCCTCAGCAGTCTTTGTTGAGGGCTTCAGAGTTTGCAGTGAAGCCCAGTTTATTGTCAGTGTGAACACTGAGCTTTGTTAGGAAGTTGCATCAATGAAGTGTGCAGGTATCCTGCACAGGCAGAGATATCAGCTCAGCACAGACTGATAAAACACTGTGACTCCCTAAAACTATATCACAAACCTCCTGGATGATCTGTACTTCACAGTAAGTCGTATATTTGTCACATAGTATAATTTAAATGCTCCAAAAGCACAAACAGTTTAGGCTTCCACTTCATTGACTCCAGTTAGCAGAAGGAAGTCCTAGCATCCTCCCGCCCCCATACGAAGTCTAAAGAGAACTGGCTCACTTTCGGAGCCAGCCTCGAGCCGCGCCCTGCTTGGCAGCAGATAACTTCAGATGAGAGAGAGCGTCGCATAGTTCGGCTTCCTGAGTTTGCAGCTTCACATACCGCTCTGCTGCAGCGCGTCTCGGTTTGAAGCAGGGAACAGAGAATTTTCTCCGTCTGTAATAAAAGATGTGGAGAACATCCGATCGAGACTCATTCATCTGATTGTTCTCTCATAGCTGAAGAAGTGAAACTGGTGACTGGGAGCATTTCATTAAAAAAAAAAACACCAGTTGGAGGTGGGGTGGGGGGGAGGTGCGTGACGCCATGAAGTGAACTTTTAAGGGTCAGAAACAATCAGTATTGCTAAAGGAAAACTTTGATATTTGATGTAAAAATTCAAATTTGATGCAGATGATTTGAAGGCACGTGTCTGTCCTAACTGAAGCCTGAGATCTGCTGACTGTCTGATTCTTATTCCTGGTTTTTGTCACCTTTGGTTTCAAAATGCTTCTGTTGCTGCTTTTATTGCAACATTTTTCCCGTGCAGAGTTGTATAACTCCTGCCGAATGCATTGACATCTGCACGCTAAAATAATGTCGATGTGTTCCTACAGTCGAGAGGAGGCGGCGCTTCAACATCAATGACCGGATCAAAGAACTCGGAGCTCTGATCCCTAAATCCTCTGACCCGTTAGTAAACGCTGCACACTCACACTCTGTACACTTACACTCCTGCTGGTACCAGTAGTACAACAAAAGCAGAGACATAAAGAGGCTACAGAGACAAAGGCACAGATTTTGCACTTGATTAATCAGTGAGATGTTGGCTTATTTAAAATGATACAGCTGACTTTTTCCATTTAAATAATCTTTGTAAGTTTTATTTGAAATTGAAATTTGATATATATTGTTACATAGACTTTACTTTTAGTTCAGCACTCATGTCTGTACGTGTTGGCAGCAGCACCTCGTTATCCTGCCGTGTGTTAACGAGGCACTGAATGTGATTGGTGTTTTAGTGAGACGAGGTGGAACAAAGGAACCATCCTGAAGGCGTCGGTGGATTACATCCGCAAGCTGCAGAAGGAACAGCACAGAGCCCGAGAGATGGAGGAGAGGCAGAGGAGGCTGGAGAGCACCAACCATTCGCTGATGCTCCGCATACAGGTGAGCAGAGGGGGCGGGGTGTGGTGGTGGTCTGATTTACTGTCCTTGTCCATCACATGGACGTAGCTGCAGCTTCACAAACTCTAATTTCTTTGTTTTGCAGGAGTTGGAGCTTCAGGCTTGCGTCCATGGCCTCTCCTCTTCCTCCTCCAACTCACCTCCCCCGAAGTCCTCCTCCTCCTCTCTGGACCCCCAGACCCTGCTCTCTCCTCCACTGCTTCACCCCTTTTCCTCTTCCTCCTCCCCCTCCTCCTCCTCCCTGGTGACTCCCTCTCTGGGTCTGGATGCTCTGACTTTTACGGACCTGGATGAGCCTCAGGGAGCCGCCACTGTTTTCTCCCCAGACCTGATGTCTGACATGGGGCTGACTGACCTGAACGGCCTGGGGGGCCTCCTGATGGAGGACGGGAGCGGGGCAGGAGTGATGTCCGACCCTCTGCTGTCCTGCGGAGCTTCGAAGACCAGCAGCAGAAGGAGCAGCTTCAGCATGGATGAGGATCTTTGATGACCCCATCGCGCACAGGGATCTGATTGGCCAGAACTGAAGGCGGGACTTCATTTTTAATTTTTTTAGGGAACTGCTTTTCAATCTGTGACATCAACAAAGCAAAAAACACACCAAGGTGATGCAGTGTAACAGAAACCATCAGCATGTCTTCCAGGGGACTCCCCTTTGTCCTGAAGTGTTGTTGTCACAGCTGTTGTTGCAAACCCCAGTGTCAAAATTGTGTTCAGGTTCCTCACACGCACTCACCTGAACTGCTGAGACTCAAAGTGACTTAAATGTGGATTTACGAGGTTTTATAAAGTAGTCAAAATACTGAGACATTGATTGTGCCTCAGTTCATTCCTGTAAATATAAATGAATCTATAATCACTGTGCTGGAAAACTGAGTAGAGATTTTTATTGGATCAGAGGAGTCTGCATAGCTTCAGGACTTTGATTCAGTTTTATTTTTAATATATGCGCTGCCTGATTGAAACCATGTCCAGAGCAAAAAGAAGGGAAACTTTTGTAATCGGCCACCAATCCTTAAGAAAACTGTTCATTTCAGTTTGTTTCATCTTTAGAGTTTTATGTTTTATTAGCATTGAGACTCTTCTCATACAGCAGCCAAATTAACATTTTAAGCTTCAATCAATTCTTGCTGATGAGTTTATAATCGTTAGCCTTCAATTAAACCAGCTACAGTTTCCATTGCTTGAGGCTAATTGTAAGCTAACTCTTAGCTGCAGGTGTTTTGTCTTCAGGAACCCTCCTATCTTATAACAGACAGGTTACCAAACAAGAACTTGTCGAGTTAGCTGTTAATGTTAAAACGTGCTCGCGTTAAAAGCTAACTAGTTACATACTGTTGTTCATATTCTCCTACCTGCTAGTTTAGTTAGCTACTGTACAGAGCTAGCTGCTATCTGTGCTTGATGTAATTAGCTCTAGCTAAAATCGTGTCATCTTAGCAGCTATGTTTGTTTGTGGAACGATTTCCTCATATGTTACAGTCGCCGATGTAAATGTGTCTGGGTTTTGTTGGAAATTTAAGGTGCTCTGCTGGTGATGCTGGTTAGGAAAAATAATACTGACTGCAGACAAGTTAGTAAGATGTGGGAACAGAGACACCAAGACACAAGATAAATGAGATCTCTGCTGATCTCTGTTACTTTATTACTGCACGATCACAACATCAGCCCAAATGGCTGCCAACATCGCTCCCTTAAATATGGCAGACAACAGCCTGCAGACTGCGGTTCATGTGCCATGTGGGATCTTTGTGTTTGTGTCTAGTTTTATTTCATTTTCAGTTACTGTTTGCCACATTTGTGGCTCCAAAACCAACATTAACCACGTTAAAATGCTGGTTTTTGTTGTTTATCTGACATCTAATAGATCACCTTTGGAATCTTTGTTTTCTTCTATTTATCAGTAATTGGATGATACTTTTTTAAGACTTTGAGTAGGTGGTGGAGGGTGCTGACTAGTCATGTATAAGTGACTTATTACAGTTGATAATGGCCATTTATTGGGCTGATGTCATTCATTGAATTTCCCAGGTGATACTAAATCATGGCCAAGCAATAGTATTAATTCCTGCTAATGTCATCTGTGCCGTGTACTACAAAGAAAGAATATATAGCATATATTCATAACTACAGCCATCTCAGGGCACTATACATTGTATATTACAGAGTTCACAAGCCATCAACTTTCTATGATCAGCACTTGGCAGCAGTAGGGAAAAAAACCTACCTTTATAACTGTAAAAAAAATATGCAACAGAACCAGGCCTTCATACCAGGGAAAATATGGAGGAAGGGTGAAGACGGGAAAGAGGAACTTAATTACAGGAAAAAAGCACTGAGCTTGATGTGGCCAGTAAAACCTGTTGGGCTGTTATGGATTGTTAGCAATGCAAGTTACAGTAACACAGACTGTATGAACCTACTTGCATTCAGTTATTGATACAGGAAATATACAAATATGTTTTTATGCTTGGTCCTGATTTTCTGCCAGGGTAATTTTGCAGTCCTGTTGGTGTTTATCTCAGAGAATGTTTAATAAATGAAGTGAACTGCACTTACATTTGGTCAAAGCGATTTCTGGCAGATAGATAAACAGTATATTCACAGGAAGGAACCAGATTAGCAGTATTCGACAGCATGCCTCTCTGGTTTTATTTAGAGAGCCACTCTAAAGTTTTGTCAGATCCTTCACAGCTCTCTGTGACCCGTTCTTCTTCACAGAAGAAGGCAGTGTCGCTTGATTGGTGCTGAATGACGCGCCAAACGCGTTACTGTGCTCACGGTTTGATAAAGAAAGGCTGATGTAACGAAGAAAGCTGATAACTATTGTTGCGATACCAATTATCTCTGAATGTTGCATTAGGTGTAAGCCAGAGAAAACCTGTCTGTATCCAGCTAGAAATGAGATTTAATACCTGAATAATGATCAGCAGAGTCAGGTGTTCAGTTATGAGGATCAGGTGATTCTTGCATAAAGGGATTGCTGTTTTTTAAATCTATGTTTATGTCATTTATGTTTATCATATGTTTACAACCATATAGTTTGTCATTGTTTATTCTCAGTTAACAGTTTGTTTTATAGATCCATCAAGGTTCACATGCCAACTTTTATAGAGAAATAAATCATTAAACAGAAGTTTGTCTCATTCTGTGTTGTGTTTGCTCACTTACTGCAAAAAAGTTCTTTTTGTACAAGAAATCTCACAACATTTATAACTTTGTAAAGACTAGTAATAATATAATTGTTTTAAATAATCTAGAAAACTCTGAGCAAAAGGTGTGCAAGTGTTCTGAAAGCTGCTAATTGTTACAATAAAGTAATATGTAGAGAAAAACACAGTCTCTTTACAGCATCTAACACTTAGACCAGACAGGAGTCACACTGTTCATGTCCAGCAGGGGGAGCCATTCTGCTGATTAACAAAACAACATCATTCCAGTCTATGTAAGTCCATAACAAACATCCATTTATATGCCAGGAAATTGGAAGAATTATTCAAGAGGTACTCAGGAGCTTTAATGAAGTAAAATTTCTATAATAGCATTGTTAACAAAACAAAACAAAAAAACCCTCCATTACAAAAATGTCCCGGAAGTAAAATTGTACTTAAACTTCTCCCTGCACAATGATTTCACAGGAAATCATAGGAGGCATGATACATAAACTCTCAAGTCCTAGATTTGCCTCAGCCTCCTCATCCAGATGAAGTGTGATTCACAAGACCTCAGTGGAGTGGGTTGGAGGCCAGTTGAGGCCAGCTCTCCTGTGGTTCCACCACCCACAAGAGTGGCTGTAGGGATTTAGTGTAATGTGGATAAAGAAGCAATCAAAAATTCATAAATGCAGGAATATTTGTTCACTGGCCTTAAATATTTAAATAAATGACTTGTGTTAAATTTACTGTCCCTGAAAATGCTCTGGATAATATTGACGCATGTCCCAAGTTCCTTCGGGGTCAACCTTCAGGATCAATAAAGTTTTATTTAATTGAATTGAATTGTAAAATACAAATTTCCACAAGAATATAAAATTGATTCACCATCAAATCATTTAGTCAAGCAAACTAATGCATCTTGATTATTATAGTTTTACGAGCAGGCTATTACAAAGCCAAAAACCTACTTATATAAAAATGCTGAATGTTTGAGGTGAAACAAAAAGTAAAGATAAAACAGTTAACCTTTAATTTTATAACCTACATTAAAATTTATTTGAGTTTAATTAAACTCAAATCCACATGTTTATATAAATCTGGCTCCAGGTCCTGATTTATATAAACATGTGGATTTGACAGCAGCAAATGTGGATCAACCTACCAGTGAAAAAAACACTGATATGTTTGAATCTAGAAGCAGTCTGTGGGAAAATGTCACAAATGTTTTGGTTACCATGTGTTTATTCTGGTTTAACTACCATTGTGGGGACAATGATCCGGGTCAAATGCTGTGAGGACATTTTGGAAAATGGGGACACTCTTTGAAAAGTGTGGGTCAGAGCTCCAGAGGCTGTCTAAAGGGTCAGATTAGATCCACGTTCTGGTTCAGGGGCCGGGGAAAGCGGTACGTTGATCACAGTGCTCACTAGGACAAACGGACAAACGTGTGCATGTATCTCTCTTTGATGTTGGCCTGTCCCGGGTGTCAGAGGTCAGGTACCATTGTCTCTCCAGTGATTTCCTGCTTCCTGTTTGGACGTCCTGGCACGCTGCTTTGACAAACACACCCGCTTCCTGTCCCCACAGGAGTTACTTCCTGCTCCACCCGGCCCTGCTCCCCCCCGCTGAGCTGTCAATCAGAGACACGATGGGACTGGCTTTAGAAACTCTCAGTTTTATTTGTGCAGTGTTCAACAGCTCAGCAGGAAAACAAAATTCAGAGAATGTAAAACTACTGTAACTCTGATAAAGGTTAGAAATCATTTACCTAAGCAAGCCCAGGAGCTGTGACAATGTAACACAGGACAAATCATGAGCAGGGTGTGTGATTAGTCCACCTGGCTGTCATTCAACAGTACAAAATGCTCGGATGTGGAGTTTACTGTCATGAGAAGCTGTCAGATATTCCCATTTAACATTCTGGTATCAGACAAATGTCCTAAACTATTATTCAGAATCGTTGAAGATTGCTTTTCTGTCAGTTTATCTGTGATTGTCTGTGGAGTCGTAGGATGCCTGAGGTGATCATGTGTTTTCAGAGGCACTTGTGTCTTTTCAAAACTCAAAATAATCTTTTTTTCCTGTAGACTTGGAGAACCAAACCAGACAAAACCAGCTGTGGCAAAGTTAAGTGCAGTCTGTAATCGGCCTCCTGGTCAGTGAAGTGTGCTGGAGTCCACATCATTAGCACACCTTGACATCATTTTGTAGTCCTTCTCTGATTGGCTGCTCTATGTTGGGAAGCAGATGGAGCAGCACTCTAAACAGATCTCCAAGCAGTCGGATGAGCCGCAGCAATTTTCAATTATCCCACAATCCAACACTGCCTGACACGCCTCCTCGGTGCAGGCTGCCTCCCCTGCGGCCTCCATGCAGCAGCAGCAGCAACCGCCAGCCGCAGCGTCGCAGCACCCGGCCCCGCCCATTCCACACACCAGACAGTCCCCCACAGCCGAACACATGGACAGCAGCTCGCAGAAGAGACAGGCGAGGAGACAGTGAGCGCAACAGTCTGTAAAGACAACCGATTGGATAGGAAGTCAGGTGACCAGTCACTGAGGTGATCAGTTAGCAGTTACCTTTTTTTTTTTTTTTTTAAACTTCAACGTTTTCTTTCAAATGACCTCTAATACTCCTTTCATGCTCGGCATTCTCATTCTTGAATTCTAGTAGAGTAGCTGTGCCAGATGGCCGCCTCTCCCTGATCCTGGTTCTGCCCAAGGTTTCCTCCTCTTAGAAGGGAGCTTTTCCTTCCCACGATTTCCAAGTGCTTGCTCACAGGGGCTGGGCTGAGTTTTGGGGTTTTCTCTGTAGTATTGCAGGGTCTTTACAATATAAAGGATCTTAAGGTGACCGTTGTTGTTATTTGGCACTATAAATAAACCTCAATTGAATTGAACTGAATTGAATCAAAAGTCAACATAATCCCTATCTTGTCACAGTTCCTACTATATTAGCTAGTTTTGTAGTTGCCCTTGATATTTGTAGTTTCTGCTGCCTTTTATCTTCATGTTTCTGTGTTAGATTTATGTGTTTTGTTCACTTCCTGTTTCACTTTAAAGTTGAGTTTCCTCATGTGTCCTATTCTGGTTTTATTTCCTGCTTTTCTTCCTTTCAAGATTGTTTGCGGCACCTTAATTAGTTCCACCTGTGTCGAATTACCCAATCAAACCTCTCTGTATTTAGTAGTTTTTCCCCTTTTCTTTGTTAAATCGTCTCTTTATTTAACCATTGTTCCCATGTGCCTTTAATGTAGTTTGACCTGGTTAAATTGGCTTTTTAAATGGCTTTTCTCGATACCTCCTTTATACCAAGCATGACACATTTATCCTTTATATCCTCGAATAACTGTCACATTGAATGAACATTGTAATTGTATACAGGTGACAGAAAATAAGTGTAATTGAATTAGTCGGTTGGTAGAAAGCAGAGCGCCTGATGCTGGGAGGAGCAGGAGGGTTCATCGGCCCGTGCGTGCTCTGCAGAGATAAGCAAACCTCCATGCTGGAGGTGCACGGCTGATAAACACAGAGATGGGAGTGTTTTCATTTTTCTGATATGTGATCTGTTTTTGTTCCATCACATTTAGAGCGCAAAGGTCGGCTCACAGCAGCAGTTTGGAACGGTTATTGTCCTACAAAGACTCTTCAGCAGCCCTTCCTGTTAATCTGGCAGTAGTTTAATGTGCTACTCATTAAAACTATCATAAAAAGTATGTTTCAAAAATTGCATTCTTCCTTACGCATCAAGCCAAATGTATTTTCATTCCAACAAAACACCTTTATGAATTTATCATGAAATAAAACAAGATCTCGATTTGGAAGATTAAGAAGGAGTAAACATGTTAGCCATGAAGCTGCTCTTTGGTTCTGTTGGCTTAAAGTTTAAACATCTGCACCACCAGCTGTGCACTGTCATCATAGGGCAGTGGAAAAACCACTAGTATGTGTTACTCTTTGATCTGATTTTGGTCCTTTAGGCAAAGAACTTCAGACAGTAAAAAAACTGCCAATACCTGTGATGCTTATGCTCTTCTTCTGGCTTTCTGGGGGAAATGCATGAGGACTCCAGGTGTCAAGGGCCGGTGTCCTGCAGGTTTTAGATGTGTCCTTCATCCAACACAGCTGATTTAAATGGCTAAAACTACCTCCTCAACATGTCTTGTGTTTTTCAGAGAACTGGTAACGAACTATGCCTCTCATTGCATCTCATTGATCCAGGGTGATATCTAAAACCTGCAGGACACCGATCCTTGAGGCCTGGAGTTCCCCACCCCTGCTTTAATGCCATAACCTACATTCACTCCTTCTAATAAGTCCTACTTTCAAAAGCTCGACTTAAAAAAAGAGAGCTACATTTCACCTGCCAATTTCATCCAGATACAATTAATTCTGGTTATAAAAACTAGGACAATGACCACCAAACCCAAAGTTGCAAAATGGTCCACAAACCAGTGGCTGAACATCTGTACCACCATACTTCAGAGAAACCGAACACTCCAGGGAGACCGTCCCAACATTAACATGCTTTTAATTTAAAGAGGATTTTTTCCTTTATTTTTTGTGCTATAAATACTGTTACATCTGTTCATGGGCAGTGTACTAATAAGATAATAGAAGATAAAAAAGGAGGAGGCACAACACAGCATGTTTTAGGGAGTGGATGAACTAAAGGACCCTTTTCACGAAGAGGACTTACGGCTCTGATTGTCTGAGGACCATCAGGGCTGCAGGCTGGCTGTAATGAGCTCTGCAGCCTGTAGGTAGTGCCTTCTTTTAAAGCCTTTTAAAAAAATGATTATCGGATACATATCACAACGATAAAACTATAAAGCTGATTGTCTCACCATCTCCAGCGACCTCCTTAATGTGGGTGGCGTCTGTCTTGGAGGAGGCTTGGCTTTTAGTGGAGGATAAACGCTTCTGCTTGGTGCTCTGATGGTGGTGATGATGATGATGTCTGTTAGAGGTGGATGACCGAGAGGCAGGTGGAGGAGGAGGAGATTTCATGGAGGAAGATGGAGGAGTGCAGACGGGGGGAGGGGGTGTTGACGATGAGCTGTCCACACCTGAGAAACAGAGACATGACATCACGGGTGACATCACAGAAGACGTCAAACTGAGCCACATCACACTCGGTCAGATACAATTACTCACCTTTCTGTTTCCACGGTGACAATGAGGGCTGAGCGGGCAGGAGACGAGAGACGTCATTGGTGGAGGAGCCATCTGTCGAACAGTCATCACTGCTGTCAGGGTCTGACCTATGAGAGGCAGGGGGAGGAGCTTCATCTGCAGGAAGAAACAAGCGGTTCCAGGTGAGCTGGGTGTAGGTGAGAGGGCGGACTGTTTTACCTTAACCTTTGATTCACAGGAAGTCTTTACATTAGTTCAGCCTGGTGTTTCTCCTTATTGATCCTGCTGCAAACCTCTTCAGTCAGCTGTGTCTCTAACAAGAATCTGTTCTTGTTTGTAAACCACTCAGACCGAAGCACCAGAAAACCTTCATATGGCTGCTCTTTTAGGAATTTCTTGTTTGGAGAATTTTGGGGAAACTGACCTTTTTGGTTTGTTTATGTGTCAAACTTATTGAGTGGGAGGAAACCCAGCCTCTAAGTCTCATCTCAGGGCGAAAAGTAGAGCAGCGGCGTTCTGAAACAGGAAGTCCTCTCAGACAGGATGCGTATCCAGACGGAAGCTCTTAAACTGACCTCAGGTCAGAGTTTAAGAGGCTCTGTGATGCCATTAGAAACATGGAGGTAGTCTGAAAACTCTCTGCTACACTGAGGTTACAGACACCCACTTAAGCCCCGCCCACACACACAGTCACACACATTCAGCAGCTGACAGCTGGATGCTTGCACAAACTGTATATGAAAGATGAAAGTAGCTGCTGTGATGTCATTCGGTGGTATTTGGACCCCTTTTTTGAGGCGTCACTGTTAGTGTTAGCTACTGTTAGCTACTGCCATGTTTCTTCTGACGATGCTGTCTGTGTTGAGCGCTCAGTGGATCTGCGTTCGACTACTCCGCCTAGGCTGCACTGTCGAGTGCAGATCCACTGAGCGCAGCGCAAGCTAGCAAGACAGAAGCTAAGCTCGTTACAACATGGCAACTGCCTCAACTCTACCCGAAATTGAACCTCCTGCACCCTCATTCAGATCTGGCGTTTGGAACTATTTTGGTCTTCATGTGAAGTATGACCCTGAAGGTAAGCGCGTCATGGACAAAAGTAAAACAGTAAAATTCACACGGTGGTGCTGTAAGAAAACTAAACCCCATACAGCTGTTTCAAAACTAGGGGTAAGTAAAAAGTAAGTAAAATTTTATTTATATAGCACCTTTCAAGATAAAAATCACAAAGTGCTTCACAGGAGCTAAAACCTAAAAATAAAAATCAACCAAAAGCAAGTTTAAAAAGATGAGTTTTTAGCTGTTTTTTAAAAACAGACCAAAATGCATTTTGTTGAGGCTGTAAAATGTTTATTTTTGCAGTAGAGTTGCTTTTGGAGCCATCCTGACAAGGCCTTTGTCGTTTTGGCTCTCCACACTGGCTTCAGTGTACCCTCTTATAGCTGTGATTAGACATTTCAGATTCGAGGTAACTCTCTTGAACAGCGGTCCCCAACCTTTTTTGCGCCACGAACCGGTTTATGCCCGACAATATTTCATGGACCGGCCTTTAAGGTGTCGCGGATAAATACAACAAAATAAAACTAGTACCGGTACCGAAAAAAAGAAGATTTATTCATAACACACGTGAAAAGACCAATAAAACCGAGTAAATGATAAAAACAATAACAAAATAACGCTGAAAACCGATAAAAACCCTGAAAACTATACATTTGACACCTGAGCCTCAACTCTCGCGGCCCGGTACCAAACGACTCACGGACCAGTACCGGTCCGAGGCCCGGGGGTTGGGGACCGCTGCTCTTGAATACTTCCCACCCGGTCATCCAGCTGGTAAACAGTGTCCTTCAGGTTTTATTTGTGATCAGTTTTCTTTTGTTTTCTTCCCACTGCTCGTTGCCAATTTTTCCTGCCATTGTCTGAGACATGCCACGGTCTCTCTTCACCACATGGCTCAGATCTCTTCCTGTTTGTGTCTCTTAATGGTTTCTGTCTTGCTGCAGTTTTTTCTTTTTCTTTTTTCTAAAGTTATCTGGGACTTTCTAATGTTTACACATCCGTCTCTGCCCCTGAGTTCATCCTGTCTCACCTCATCAGACCTTCTAATTGTCTCACCTGTGCTGTGATGCGGGAGCGTCCCGTTGGCTGTCGGTTGGATCACGATGCATTCTGACTGGTTTTCCGACTTGTTTTCGCCGCCTTCAGTGGCGTTAGATGCAGTAGAATGTGATGTCACATCCATCCTGTCAGAGAAAATAAAGCATAGAGAATAATTGTGACTAATTTGATCAGGGAGAATTTCATTAACAGCACTGAACAGAAATTTAGACAGATAACTGAATGTGGAAGCATTTAAATACAGATTTGAACTGGATTTTGCTCCTCATTTCGACTCAACTGAGTCTTTTCTATCCTTTAAAACTCTGCTGCCAATTAATTTCATTTAAATAAATAAAATCTGAGAATAGTTCCCAAAGTTCCACTTAGACGATTTTTTTGTACAATAATATTTATTGAGGTCATGGAAATGTTCACATCCATACTAGGGACGTATTCAGAGTTACAGGGAGTGAAAGTACCTGTAAGGAAAGGGAAACTTTAAAAGCTTATTAATTTGTGTTATTCTTCCTGGTTGACTTTCATTTTTAAGCACATGAGGGACGACCCCGGCATAAAGGAGTTGGGAAGAAGGAGACGTTTCGTTTGCTACGGCTTATTTTTGGTGAGACAGGCCTTTAAAATGTACCCAGAACGCACTTTTAGAGATTTTCCCCAGTGAATTATCAGCAAAACAACTATCAAACATCCAGGGTAGAATTTCTTGTTAGCATACTTGTTTTGTCTAATTATTTTTAATTTAGTTAAGTTTCAGTTAGTTCAAACATTTTTCAGGTCTAATATTGAAAATATTAGTTGTTAGTTTAGTTTCAGTTAAACTATAATAACTGTTGTGTGTTCCTCCATGTCACAGACATTAAACTGTTTTTTCTGGTGAAACTATGATTAGTTCCATGATACTGGTGCTCAAAAACAGATCTTGAGAGCTAAAAAAATCTCTGTGTACTTTCATGGCCTATATTGCAAATTTTTAAAAAATATTGTGACGAACTCAACAAGAAAAACAAAATGTGACACAGAGATTTCAGTCTGCATTTCAAACTCCTGTGTTTTCTACTCTACTCAACCTCCAAGATTGCAGGTGTGTTAGCAGTAACGCACATGAAGAAGCAGGAAAAGTGACCAGAGGTCATTAATTGCCACAGCCTCAGACATGGTGGACACATTCAACCTAACCAGAAGCAAGAAAACACCGCAGTTCACATCATAAATGAACAACAACACAACATAACCACAATATGGGCATTGACCCCGTAAGTTAACACTTTAACATCAACGTGAAACATCCCAGGAGTCTTTGCAGTGGCCTCTCTCCTCGGGCTGCAACTTTATGAAGGTAAAAGTTTGAATGCCTTCAACAAACGTGAAAAAACAAACAAATACACACAAACAAAATTAAAAATCAGCTGATTTCCCCGGGTGTACTTTGAATTTGATCCCGTACCTGGTTTTAAACCAGCGTCACCATCCCAGCAGTTTCAACTTTGCCACAGCAGCTTTACTGGGAGAGCTGACCTTTCCTGCCATCACAAGCTTCTTGAATGTCTTCCGGCTTTCTAAACACTGTTTTCACCATAAAAGTCTAAATGCTGCCGAGCTTTTAGTCTTTTTATAGAAAAAAAGTGAGTTGGATGTGAAGGGATTAAGATTCCTGCTGTAAGAGGGGATGTCTTAAAGAGTAAATCAGCTGCTCTATGCTCTGTTGAAGCCTCGTCTTCATTGTTATAGATCAAGGCGAGAGTAACCGAGGTATTAAGGTATTTGTCGCATAGATACAACGCCATATAAAACAAATATAAAAGAGGTTATTTTCACGAGGCACAGAGATTTATTGGGGTGTTGACCACAGGGTGTTTAGCAACGTAAAAATGTTGTTTACAAATTATTAATTTACAAATTATAGAATCTGAAATAAGGACGTAAAACAGACAGGTGTAAACTTCATCCTGCTCCTTTATGAGCACAAACATTGTTTGGATATAGAGATATTCATGACAACTGGATGTCTTTGTTTTGTTTTTCTTGTTATTTTATATTTACATGTTCAAAATAAATTCTATTCTATTTATTTATGAGCTTTTATCTTATTTTTTATTGCACAGAAAAAAACAAATCTTTGAGAAACAATGGCAGAATTTTCTCTTCAAGGCAAATCCTACACCTGTAATTTGTTTTTTACTTTTTGTGTTACAAAAGGAGAAAAAAGAGGCGAGGATAAGACAGAGGAGGAGGAGGAGAAGAGTGAGAGATGGGAAAAGGACACTAGCATCAAACAGAATATTAACCTTATAAAAAGCATCTTAAATAAGCTTGAGTGGCATCATTTATCAGCAGATATTTTTAGACTTTTTGTGGGTTTTCTCTGATTTTCCCATGAGCTCCAGCGCTCTCTGTAATGATTTCGAGCTTGTGTGTGTGTGTGTGTGTGTGTGTGTGTGTGTGTGTGTGTGTGTGTGTGAGAAACATCCATGTGCAGTGGTCTGTAACTCAGTGATCCAGGCACGCACTGGGTGCTTAAAAGCCTTCAGTCCAGCCATGATGTGAATATGAATGTGGCTCTCCAAGGACGGTGGGAAAGTCCCGCTCTGCTAATAATCAAAAGACTGCATGATCAGCGACGAGGCTGGAGACAGCATCAGACTCTCACCTCACAATTATTGTGGTTAAATGAATATCAGTGAAACTCCTTATGACTGTAAGGAGGTGGAAACTCTGCAACCAGATACCAAGAGAACAATCACACAAATATTTACAGTATCATAATATCTGTAATATAAACATCCACCCATCTACTTTCTTCACCTCTTGGAGCCTGTCCCAGCTGTCACAGAGCGAGCAGGTATACACCCTGGACAGGTCGGCAGTTTAACACCAAGAGACAGACAATCCTTCCCCTCACGTTAAAACCTGCGGCCAGTTTAGATTCACCAGTTAATAGAACGCGTGTCTGAGGGAGGAAGCCACACAGACACGAGAAGAAGGCCCCAGCTGCTGGTTTTTAACCCAGGACCTTAATGCTGTGAGGCCAACCACTGCACCACCCATCCAAGCACAACAACATGATCTCACGCTGGCTGCTCACAGTTTCACATCAGAGCTCGATGAAAGAAACACCGAAGTTGAAACTCTCTGATGACATACATCCTTTAAACATCACGGCGTAACAGCGGTGAGTGTAATCCAAAATCATCAACCCTTTGAGAGCTGGATTCAAATTCTCCCACAACTTGTTACAGATGTCTTTACAGAAATGTGGCCAATCGTGTGGCAAGGATACGGATAGGTTATGTGAAATCTGTTAAAAAAAAAACAAACCTTATAAGCTTTGAGTTTACTTTTCCACCTCTAATCAGAACACTGTGATGTTCTGCAGTGAACCATGGCTAACACACCAAGACCCAGAGTGACGATAAAAGCAGCTCAGCTCGTGGAAATGAGTCGAAAAACTGCGATAAACAACATTTCAGAAATTTTTCAGAGCGTCTGTCATAGATGAAGGAAACTTATATGGGCATGAGAAACACTTTTAAAGAGGCTTTACAATGATATACCTGTATAATATAGTGGAGACATCGATGACCACAGTCACTTTAGTTGCTCTAGTATCACCTGAAGGTTAATAATCATGGATTACGTCAGTATGAGTTCATGCTAGCTCCCAGCTTCAGGTACAGTTATGTTTCAGGTGAGTCTGCAGGAGGCGTCACCTGAACGCTGCAAACATTCATACACATAAAGAGCCCAAAGCCAGCCTCTGTTTTGCCTTAATGATGTATTCGCTGTTTAATTTGTGATGTACATCAGGAAAACAACAGCTTTACTCAGCTGTTTAAGATATTTTATTTCCCGTTTTTTCAAATGATTTCTCAGTTTGAGATGTTAAATAAATTTACGTATCCATCTTGTTATTATTACACACTTCAGTGAAATGCAGGTGTCTTTAAAACACCTTAAAAAACTATTAAATATCAAATCCTGGAAGTTACTTAATCGCAGAGAGAAAACAGACAAATAAAGAGAAGTTTCTCACCTGCAGCTTCCTTCTTTCTTTTTTCTTTCTTTTTTCTTTCTTTCTTTCGTCAGTTATGTCGTCCCGCGTCTGAATAAACACTTCGCTGTCTTTCTGTGTGCAGCGTTCACATGTGTGTGAAGACCACCGCCTCCTCCGCTTCCTTTAAAAGCACACACACACACACACACGCAGCAGGGCTGGCTTCTCCTCTTCAGGGTCACTGGGGCAGCAGTCAGCTGCTGGGCCCCTGTTTAACTCTGTATTATTTTCCAGAAGCTCTGTAGAAATGAAGAGCTCCCACGATCAGCAGATGACCTGGGGAAAATGTTCAGAATAATATAAAATTATAAGATAAGATAAGATAAGATAACCTTTATTAGTCCCACACGTGGGAAATTTGTTTTGTCACAGCAGGAAGTGGACAGTGCAAAAGTTATGAGGCAAAAATTAGAATACAATAAGAATAAATACAGTACACAGCTGTACAGAATAGAATAAAATACTATATACAGTAGAATAAAATAAAATAAATATACAATAAGATAAAAATAGAATACAAATACAAATACTATATACAACTGAGTAAAAATACAACGATGACAGAAAGGATTATTGCACTTAGTATTATTGCATATGTATGGATGTGTGTGCTTGATCAGTTAAAGTCTTTATTATGGAGTCTGACAGCAGTGGGGAGGAAAGACCTGCGAAATCTCTCCGTCCCACACCGTGGGTGCCGCAGTCTCCCACTGAAGGAGCTGCTCAGTGCTGTCACAGTCTGCTGCATGGGGTGGGAGATGTTGTCCAACAGGGATGACAGCTTAGCTGCCGTTCTCCTGTCACTCACCACCTCCACTGGGTCCAGAGGGCATCCTAGAACAGAGCTGGCCCTTCGGATCACCCTGTTCAGTCTCTTCCTGTCCCCAGCAGAGATGCTGCCGCCCCAGCAGACCACGCCATAAAAGATAGCAGAAGCCACCACAGAGTCATAGAAGGTCTTCAGGAGTGGGCCCTCCACTCCAAACGACCTGAGTCTCCGCAGCAGGTACAGCCTGCTCTGCCCTTTCCTGTAGAGGGCGTCTGAGTTATGAGTCCAGTCCAGTCTATTGTTCAGATGAACACCAAGGTACCTGTAGCTGTCCACAGCCTCAATGTCCATACCTTGGATGTTCAGTGGTTGCAGTGGAGAATGCTTGTGCCTGCGGAAGTCTACCACCAGTTCCTTGGTTTTACTGGCGTTGATCTGGAGGTAGTTCAGCTGGCACCAGTCCACAAAGTCTTGGGTCAGACCTCTGTACTCCCTGTCGTCCCCATCAGTGATGAGGCCGACTATTGCAGAGTCATCAGAGAACTTCTGCAGGAAGCACTGGGTGGAATTGTGGGAGAAGTCTGCAGTGTAGATGGTGAAGAGGAACGGAGCCAGAACCGTTCCCTGTGGGGCCCCCGTACTGCAGACGACCCTGTCCGACACACAGCCCTGAGTCCTCACATACTGTGGTCGGTCGGTGAGGTAGTCCAGGATCCAGGTAGTGAGGTGATGGTCCACTCCAGAGTTCTCCAGCTTGTCCTTCAGAACCGAGGGAAGAATGGTGTTGAAGGCACTGGAGAAATCAAAGAACATGATTCTCACAGTGCTTCCAGCGGTCTCCAGGTGAGCGAGGGAACGATGTAGGAGGTGAATGACGGCATCATCCGCTCCAATGCCAGGCTGGTAGGCAAACTGAAGTGGGTCCAGTGATGAGCTTATTAGGCGCCGAAGCTGAGCCAGGACCAACCGCTCCAGGGTCTTCATCAGGTGGGATGTCAGAGCCACCGGCCTGTAGCTGTTGAGGTCCTTGGGGCGTGAAGTCTTTGGCACTGGTACAACACAGGAGGTTTTCCAGAGCTGTGGGACTCTTCCCAACCTCAGGCTCAGGTTGAAGAGGTGCTCCATCACCCCACACAGTTGGTCCGCGCAGGACCTGACGACCCTCGAGCTGATGCCATCTGGACATCTATATATGTTTGATTGTAATTTCTGGTGTAATGAAATTACTTTAAAAAAAAAAATTCCAATCATTATTATTAATCAGATATTAAAGTGTTCATAATAATTTAAAACATATTTACAATTAGAAATAAATTATTTCTTTTTCTGGGAACTTTTTATTGACATTATAAAATATAAAAATGCTTAAAAATAAAGAATATAAAACATCCAGAAGCTCTGCTGAACACCCATGAATGACTGAAGTGATGCTGTGGCAGCACTGCTGTGTTTACCAAAAGCAATACGAAGCAGATGTTTTGATAATTAAAATAAAAACAAGCAGAAACTTTTAGAAAAAAGTGAAGCTTATTAACTGGAATCCATTAGAAATCGCTTCATGAGGTCGGCATTTGTGAAATCTGCAGCTGCTGCAGGACTCAGGAGTAATTCCAGATGTTTCAGCAGATGTTGAGCTGCCGGCGGAGGCTTGAATGTGCTTCACTGCTGCCACCTGCTGGACGCAGGGAGAACTGCACTTCATGATGAAACAGTCCAATGGTGTGAAAGGAAAGCTGCAAAGAGCCGAGTCTCGAGTTTATGATGATTGTTTCTATTAAACAACATCAGAAGATTTCAGACCAAAACAGTCACAAGCTGCTCACAAGTGAGCCGTAAACTTAATAATTAATAATTAATAAGTGTCGCAGTAGCAGCTGGGACAGGTGTTAATCATTTAAAGACAACAAACACATGTGCATGCTCATTCACATGATTTATACAGCCTGTTTTCCTCCTGTAGACCTGAGGAAGGATTGCTCCTGAGAAACCTGTTCACTGTGTTATCGCTGTGTTCACAGACTGGAGTCCAAACATCAGAGATCAGTTTTATTCTCGTGTAAAGTGTCATGTGACCCTTCAGATCTGAGTCACTGCAGCTCCCTGCACTTTGGTACCTCTCAGTCTTCACGGTTTTGTCTGCAGGCTTAAATTACCTCCAAAAACCCAAACGCGTTCTAATGTCACAGCCTCCCCTCCAGCAGGTGGCGACACACACACGCCGTTTGTGCTCCTCGGTCAAAACTACAGAAGAGGAAAACAATAATGATGCGGACACAAAGAGATTTTTGCAGATTTTTGGTGAGCTTGTAAAACGAGCGAGAGGCTGCAGCTTCAACCGGAGAAGCGACTCTTCTTCTCCTCCTTCTCCTTCTTCTTCTGTGAATTCACAGCAGCTGCAGCAGCTCATGGTGAGTCCGGGTTTGTTTGTCACGTTGTACTGATGGAGGAGAAGAGAGGAGCAGCTCCCTTTTTCTCCATCCTGCAGCCTAAACGCGGCTAAAATCTGCAGAAAAGTAAACGGAGTCTGGTCGGAGCGGAGCAGCAGAGGCGTGAGGAGAGCTCTGCTCCTGCAGGAGGTTAAAGCTGGTGATCAGGGAGGACTGGAGATGCTGTCACGTGGTTCGTGCAGGCTGCATGTGGAGAAATCAGCTGTTAAATCACTGCACGGTGGCGGGTTTCAGGTGTCACCAGGCGGGTTTTTTAAAGGACACTTTAGTGGTTTTAATGCAGGCTCGTCTGTTTCACATGCTTCTGTTTTCCTTTACCTTGCAGTTACTTCCGACAATCAATTCATGATGCAAATAAAGAGGTAAAATGAGTAACACACCACACTTTCGGTCTGATGTCGTTGTGTGCAGTCTTTGCTTCTGCACACCTTTGGTGGCTCGGACAGGGAAATATTAGTTATTAATGTTAAACAGACAGTGATGTCTTAATTGATGTGAATGAATTTGTGTGGATCCTGTAGACCAATGTAATACAGACTTAGTGCGATAACAGACTGCGCCTTGTTTTTGTGGATATTGTTGAGTTATAAACAGATCGAATGAGCCTCCGGGTCCTGGTTTTGTGTCTGGACTTTGGTCTCTGGGGTTTAATCCAGGTGTTAGAGTATAGATCAAATGTATTAAATAAAACTGTTCTTAGACCTGAAACTGGTCTGATGAGATCTAGATTTTTTATATTTTCCAAATAAAAGCCGCTCCACAGTCTCAGTAGTAATCTAGTCCAGGGATCCGCAGGTCTCAGAGGAGTATTTTTTAGGTCCTGAACCGGGTCTGGAGTTTCCTGTCACGTTTCTTCTGAATCCAGGTTCCTCAGGGGGAGTGGGTTTCTAGCTGCTCAGCAGTGCCGCTGTTCTGAGAAATCGTCCTACACGTATTATAATTTGACAGCGACTTATGACTAATCCAAACCATAACCATAATAAGTGTTCACAATGGGTTAAAAATTATGTAAATTTGGGAGTTGTGTTACGCGAATGCGCAGAAACAACGGGTAGGATGATTTGTGAGGTAGGATAGATTCCCAGTCCCCCCGAAAACGATGTACTGGGAGTTCAATGTTCTCACTGGCTTTAGTGAGCCTTGAACCCCGGTTAGCTATCGAGCTGGTGGGTAACAGACGTCTCCGAAAACGTCGGAGCGCTTTTACAAATATATGATGTCTTGATAAACCGAGCAGATATTTGAAGTTTACACAGCTACATTCTCGCCTGAAAATATTTTAAATGTTTATTTTGTGACCCAGACAGAGTAATAAGAGTAATATTAAAACTAAGTAGCTGCCGCCATTGTTGGAAACTGGAATTGGCTGGGCCGCGCTAGGAATTCTGGGATAGGTTGGGCCACGATGGATACACCCGACCCATCCTTCAAATCTGGGGAAATGAAGGATGCATTTGTCGGCCGCGTTTGGAGGAGTCTTCGAATTTGGACAGCCTTCGTCGCTGTGACAGAATCGGCCTACAAATGGGGCCCCTGAATTTCTTCTTCTTCAGAGTTTAACGGCAGCTGGCATCCTTGTATATGCAGTGCTGCCATCTTCTGTTTCAGTCCGTTATTACACTTAAATCCTGCTGCTTATTCCTGCGTCTTTCAGGATCTTACAAAGCTTCAAACGTCGAGTCGTCTATTAAATTAGTCGTTGACAATTTTGATAGTCGACGTAATCGTGACTAGTCGACTAATCGTGGCAGCCCTACTTAGCATTATTTTAGTGAAATATCCAAGGCCTTCCCTGGATGGGAGCATTTGATGCTCTAAAACTTGTGTATACCTTTCTGCACTCATGGTTACAGATGTGCAAGTGTTCAATTCCAAAGGCACTAATGGA